ATCAGGACTCCTTTATATGCTGGTGCTAAAACTTAAAACATTTACAGCTAATATCCAGCATCTGTTTATTGTAATGCACTCAAATAAAATCTTTCTTTTTGGAAAAAAAAAAGAAAAAAAGGTTTGGCACTGCACAGCTGCATTTTCTTAAGAATTTCTTTGTCTTCACGCTGCTGACTTTGTAAAATCAACAATAATTGGATGATGGATTCTTGGAAAACAAGCAGCAGTCTTGCTGAACTTACATATCGAAAATGGTTGTGGTGTTTGGCTGCTGAATACACAATTCGTGACTTGCCTCAAGTGTTAGGTCTGTCTTGTCATGGCAGTTGGCACCCACCACAGGTTAGGATGCCTCTACTTCTTCAGAAGCAGTGGGCACATCAAGTTGAAATCTGAACACTGACGCCTTGACATTTAGCTGCAGGAAACTACAGGCGGTGTTTGTTTAAAAATTCCTTCGAGAGAAATGAAAGACGACATGAATCTTGTTCTATCATCTCTGTAATCAGCTACTCTTATCATTACTTCAGACTCATATGCTGAATAAGAAAAATGTAGAGGACTACAATACACATTCATAGGAGACTGATTACATGAAATATTTGTTCCTCTAAATGTCCAGTTGTTTCTTATTAACACCTAAAAATTTACGAAACAAAAAATGTTGTAAAACTTAAAGCACATAATCCGATCAGATATATAAAGAAACCCAATAATGTGTAATGTAAGTGACAAACTCACCCTTTATCAGCAGGAGGAACATTCATTTATGACTACATGCAGATAATAAACATACTATTATAGTGAGTATCTCATAATTATATACTCACCTTTCAAAAGTATTGCATTATCATGCTTGAGAAAAAACCTGAAGAGCATTATATTCTAGGTAAAAGTAGAATATTTTATTATATTATTGGTCAAGATATTACATTATTGGGTTTTATTACACATTCAATCAAGCTAAATTTAAATTGAATTAAATTTTCAGTAAATTGCAACATTACTGGGTTCCTGTACAGAAAAGTCAGAATGTCCTGGGCTTTATTTGATTAGATTTGTTTTATTTTATTTATCTATGTGTATATATATATATCTTGAACACTTTGGGTATCTTATTTTATTTTATTTTTATTTTTTACATTTTTTATTTTATTTTTTTATTTGCAACTGGATGCAGGTACTTAGCACATTTCACTACACATTGTACTGCGTATGATTGTGTATGTGACAAATAAAGTTGATCTTATCTTAGCTTATCTTATCTTAACTTATCTTCACACAGTTACGAGGGGTGTAACTCCCATTCTGAGCCATAACTATAGACTAAACTATAAACTGACAGAAGCTGGCTGCTGTTGCTCCAGGACAGTAAGTCTGTCCACACAAGTGACAGAAGAAGCAAAATATGGCTTTGAACTGTTGCTCTATGTACATTACTCACCCGACTGGGCGCCGTCTGACTGTTTGTTTCCCAAACTGAAATCCCGCTTGCATGGTCGCCATTTTCAGTCTGATGCTGAAGTCATGCATGCTGTTGAGGAGACTCTGAAGGCTAAAGGTGTGGCCTTCCTCTGTGATCCTTCTGACTTTTTGGGTTTTAAGCAGGAGGTGTCAGAAAAGTTACCACAGGGATAACTGGCTTGTCGCGGTCAAGCGTTCATAGCGACGTCACTTTTTGATCCTTCGATGGCGGCTCTTCCTATCATTGTGAAGCAGAATTCATCAAGCGTTGGATTGTTCACCCACTAAGAGGGAACATGAGTTGGCTTAGAGTCTAAGCCTTAGACCGTCGTGAGTCAGGTTGGTTTTACCCTACTGATGATGTGTTGTTGCAATAGTAATCCTGAAAAAAACAACAACAACAGAGCGAGCCCTTCCCCCATTGGTCACCACAGATAGTGAAGTGATAGTGAAGGTTGAACGGTTAAAGTTAAAGTTAAAGGTTAAAGGAGACTATGTTAAACAAAAAAAAAAGCAAGAACAATTTTACTCCTGTGATGTTTTCTTGTGAGGCTGACAACTTTGTGAAGTACCCTATGTCCCTTGTTTACTCATCTTTCAGGTGTGCAAACAGGAAGCTGGTAGGTATAGCAACATAAAAACAGCTCTTTCACTGAGTCTTGAATTGTGTCAAACTGCACTTCAACCAACATCATCGGCAAAAGCATAAGATTAAGAGCATAAACCTCAAAATGCATAAACTACTTTGAAGAAGATTTCCTGTGTTGTGGCATCTAATCGTGGACTACATATTGTCACCACTTGTGAAGCAGCAGGTTGGAAACTGTCTGAGCAGAATAAACTCTCCGTGACTACGGTGGTGAAGGTGTACAGGGAGGCCATATCATGCCTTTCGCTCAGCAACGGAAGAAAATACAACAAAAGACTGATAATCCTGCAAGCATGGCTTTTGGATTTCCTCCAGCTCCTGACGGATAAATAAAGGTCAAGAATATTTGTTTTAGAAGATCTCATTGGAGCTCTTTTGGCAACAATGATGTAATGGATCATTGGTCGTTACTTTCTCACCATGAACTTGATGTGGTATGTTTCATGGCAAGTCGCAACTCGAAGCAGTCTGAAGTGGAGACTCTTTTAATATTTTCTCCAGAAACTAACAAAGTCTTAGATCCATTCATTGCCAGTGAAAAGTCTGGTTCCAATTAAACTGCCTAATCAAAGGCCTTTTAATAGATCTGTTTGGATTCGCTGTGGTCCAGCATGTTTGGACCTGACTACCAGGACTACCACAGTGTCAGCAGGCGCAGCATGTGTAGTGGGTGTGACATTCGTATATGCACTATGGATGCAGGTTTGTCTGCCCAAATACTGAATGATAAGATCAATCCAAGTGGCAAGAAGCCTGGCAGTGGAACAATTTTGCCAATGATCCGAAACGCAGGTAAAAACAACGAACTCGAAACTTAAGACCCAGCCGAGTATGTCCTTTGGCTTGAACACAGCAGAACACCTGCATGACAAATGGTTTGAACCTTTCCACGAACTTGTGACAGACTAGTACCATGCATGTTCAGGAGAATTCAATCTTTCCCCCAAAATACAGGCGAACATAGAGGATATTCTCATGAAAAAAAATGGGAATCTCACTTATGTATGATGTGTTGAACTGAGGTTGTGTTTTTGGGGCCAAGCAGCAAGGCCCAGCGCTACAAACTGCAGTCCCGCAAATGACCACTTGAAGCAGGCCCTGAAAGTGAGTCAAAAAATGGTTTTGGTCGCAAATTTTCCCGTCACGTCAGCTGAACTATGTAAACTCACCCGTTTACATTTAGCTGAGGATTAGAACCATGCATAACTAAGAACGTGACTGCTTTGAATGACAGCTTGGTACAGTCACAGGAAAGTCCATGGCCCAAAGATGTTTGCGTGGGCCCCCTAAGCTCCTCTCATCTCTACTTCTTTGTTTGTTTTTGGATTACGTGGGAGTCAGGTACTGAAAAGATGCACAACAACAAATGCCACCGGACTCCTGCTGTTTGGAAAAACCACGGAGGGTTCACCCATCTGTAGATACAGTCAATGTCTGAATCTATGCTTTCTTTGAGATCAAATTTTATGTAATTCGGTTTAAAAACGATCCAATTTTTGTCAGATTAGGCAATGCTGAAATATTATTCTACACAGGGATGTACTCACTTTATACTGTTTGTAATGCACCCCTGGTCTGTGAAGTTTCCTGTACAGCTGTCATTAGGGATAAACTTTAATACTATCTTAAGAGAGACATGTGTTTTTATTTATCCATGCCATGTAGAAATGATGTGGTTTGGCACACTGTTGGCAAACCTGCCACACTAGTAATGGATACAGGCAAACTGAAGCCAAGATGTCGTTAACCGTGTATTGTGTTCCTTCACTTCTGTAATGATGATCACTCAAGGCAAGCACATGCAGCTCTCCCTGCTTTGCATATAGTGGTACATCACACTGACCACGTCTACACCCTGTTCAGAAGAAGCACATGCATGAAGAGGCATTTTTCCTCGAAAATGTCATCCCTTCAAATTTAACCTTTAAGTCACCGCCGGCTGCAGAGAGGATTCCTCAGAGATAAAACGACTTGGAAGATAACCCGAGGGGAGGATATTCTCAGGTGCATATGCAGCAGAACATCCAAGAACACATGTAGTATAGGAATTTTCTGCAGTGGTGGATATAAATGTGACAGCAGTAGTTTAATATACATATTTTACACTATGAAACCTGGTTAATGTGCTTTCAACAGTACAACCTCTCTGTGTTTAAGTTGAGCTGCATGTCACTACACATGCAAATTACCTTAAAACCAGTCATCCCCTCACTTCAGAGAACTGGTAAAGCCAGTCTCTCTCATGGGCGCCGCTATAGCTCACCTAGATGAGTGGGTGACTAATAAACAGGGGCTATATTTCCCAGAGGGTAATTGTGGGTTTGACTCCCGCTCAGGACCCTTTGCTGCAGGTCTCTTCCCATTCTTCTCCCCCCTTTTCCTGTCTATCTCTACTGCTTTAAATAAAGGCAAAAGCCCCAAAAAAATATTTAAAAAAGCATCCAGTACAGTCGACATGAATCACTGGTACAAGTTAACTTACATAATTATAAGTAGTTGTAGTTGAATGATCTTAAATGAGTCACTCTTGGACTGTTGCTTGCTTTTCAGCCACAGCAATCATTTGTTTAATAGACATGGTGGTTGATAATGTTTGATTTTCACACTGATGAATGACGATAGCAACGAATAAATCCTCCTGAGAATTCTCCTTCATGTTGGTGAAGCCACATGCAAAAAAGTATGTTATCAAAACTGACTGTTGTGAAAACAGCTTGACATATGACTCTACAGGTTGCACAATCTTTCCAGGAAAAAAAAGAAAGCAACCAGTGGGGTTTGTTACAAATAATCTGCATATGTGAGTGAGGAACGGAAGAGCTCCTCACCTCAGGGTATCAGCAGGCAGTATATAAGCCCCTCCACTCTCACCTGCTGATCCACCCTCCTTCCACCAAACTGCACTTTCTCTCTTTCGCACCAGTGAGGTAAGATTTTATATTTTTGTTTAAACATTTTAGAAACTGCTGATACAGAACAGAACAGTGCTTCTTGCTGCAGGGGATCCATGCAGATCCATGTTCACATGTTACACACTGAAGTTTATGAGGATATTTTAGACCTCATAAATAAACTACTTTTTTTTTTCTAGAATTTTTCAATTCATTTTTTTTAATACGCTACTAAAACATGACATATATCACCTTGAGGCATTTAACATAGTTCAAAGTTTCCTCCAGAGCGAGCACCTGCCAGCACTGACGAGATAATAACCGCTTTTAATAGAAAGAAAACCTCCGACAGAAGCACATGCAGTGGAGAAAGAAACTTAACTCCAAATATCAGACCAACATGATATTTATCTTGTGTCAGAGCATCAGTTAAACTTTATGGTTGTATACTGAGCTGCAAATGAGTCTAAACCTTCAGAGTGTTTTGTAGACTATTGTGCACATTTTATAGTTCAGCTAAACAAAAACCAAACATGTTGTTCAGCAGATTTGTAATGCCTTAAAATGTGCTGTGGTTTAACTGCACCAGATCACAGCTCACTGAAAGGCTGCAGGACTGGAATAAAAACTGAGCACACAAAGGAAAAGTAAAAAAAAACAAGTGAATAGTAATCACTCAAATAATTAGAAACTGAAAAAAGTAATAATAAATAAAAATTGCTAAATTATAATTTAGTGAAATAAGACGTTGCTTTTGAATTGTGGTTGAAAATAATAATTTAAAAACAAACAAACAAACAAAAAACTGTCCTGGTCAAATTAGAGCACTTTGCTGATGAGCAGTGGACCAAAATCTAAACAGCTGTCAACAGGTGTAGAAGTCTAATAGAGGGTTACAGAAAAGACTTGATTGCAGTGATTGGCTCAAAGGGCAGTTGAACGCACACTAGTCTATAGTCTGTACTATTTATCATGTATATTTGTTATTTATATTATACTATGCTATTATAATTATGTTTTCATTTTTATATATTATGCTATATTCTGTATATATTTATATATTATATTATATTATATTGTCATTTATAATAATTATTTATTTATATTACTTCTATATCTCATATATCCACAATGTTCCTACCTCAACAGTGCAATATATTTATTCTACTGTTTATCTAGCTGCATATACTTCCTACTGGCTCCTTTTGTAAATACATGTATATATTTTATACTTTCCACTTTTCCACTTTTGCACCACCTTTTAATTTCGTTATACTTTGCGTATGATGACAATAAAAGCATTCTATTCTATTCTATTCTATTCTATTCTATTCTATTCTATTCTATTCTATCTTTTTTATTTCTGTTGAACCACAATTCAAAAGCAAGGTCATGATTTTCATAAAATTTTCATTTATTATTACTTTTATCAATTTCACCTTATGTCAGTGACAGCTGTTCTTTTCCTTCTTTAATTGGAGGGTCTGAATACATGTGAGGACGACTGTATGATATAATCTTTCCTACATTATATGCCAGTTATTGCAGGATATTTCTTAAATTTGAATGCACATTTTTTGCCAACAGAGACCAACCTCTGCAGCAATGCCTCCCCCCGGTGTGTGTCTGAACATCATGGGGGCTCGTAACAAGCAAGACGGGCACGGGAGCATCAACAACCCCGAGAAGTTCCTCAGCCAAGACTTCCAGCAGCTGAAGCAGTACTGCCTCATCAAAGGAGTGCGCTACATCGACGACATGTTCCCCCCTGACAACAGGTCCATCGGCCAGGGCCTACTGAGCCCCTCTGACCTGAGCAGCGTGGAGTGGCTCAGACCGGCGGTGAGTGCCGTGAAACAGAGGAGATGTTTGATGTTCAGTCAGGCGTGAAAGGTTACTGTTTGAGAGATAAAGTGAGTCAGCTGAGCCTGAATGCTGCAGTGATTCAGTTTTAGTGTTTTTATCTCACAGCATTGTTCCACATTGATGTTTGCATGTTCACTCTGTAATCTGCCTCCTATGGTTTAAATGCTACAGCAGGTGGAGATAAACTAAACCTACAGTTACTTGAATAAATTAATATCCAGGAACATATGTCATTTACAAGTTAATAGCATGCATTTATTATGATATATTTCGGGGATTTTACAAAACCTTTTGCAGTGGGGAGGGCTGCTGGACATTTCCTTTAAATTTTTCAAACCTTCTTCGACATTATTGAATCATTTTTTAAGCTTTTGTTTGACTAAAAAAGGCAAAACATAAAGACTTCATGAAGGTGTAACCCAATGTAAAGCTTAAGATCTTAATGAATCGCATCAGTTAATGCTAATGTCTCAGATTTTATAGAAGAGAGGGAGCAGGTTACATTACTAACAAGCTGGGATTGTTCCATTAAAATGGTTCAGTTGGATGCTTGCTCAAGCTTTCTATTACAACTCATGAAGGGAAGTCACTAATTAGAACAAAGTTAATAGATGACAAAATTCAAAACAGTTGCCTAATTTTGCAAAGATGGTTTTACGTTTGCTTGAAGTGGTTTTTGACATTTTTCTAACAGATTTCTTCATTTTCCAAATAAATTCTCAACTGACTGAACAGCTGTTTTTATTTCTGTTTATCTCCAGACAGCAACGTGCATCGCTGTAATAAAAAGTAATGCCAATTTTCTCGATGGAAAATCATTTCTAGAAACTTCTCTCCATTCTTTTCCCTCACAGATGGCCAAACTTTTTTTTTCATGTCTTCTTCTTCAAGATTTTTTTTTGAGATTAACAAACAACTGCTTCTGTTTCCAGCATCTACTGCTCTTTTTATCACAACCACCTATAATGTGACCCATAGCGCCACCTTTTAACGACACCATGCAGCCTTTTTTATTCACACAGTTAATACAAACAAACTAATTTGCTTTTTTTTTAAAGCAGTAGTTCAAAAGTTTTGCTTCAGATTCAATTGGCAGTTACAGTTTATGAAATAACACAACATACAATTAAGTGCTACCATAACAGTGGTTGGAGTGGGAGGTGATGAAGTTTTAAAGACACAAACTTCACACAGGGAGGTCGTTTTAGGAGAAAGTTGGAACAACACATTGTTAGCTCCAATATGGGAGGCAAAAAAATGTAACCAATACTTTCAATCTTCTAAAAAGTTTCATCGATTCCCTTCTGTTGCAGAAAATTGCCTCTAATCCGTCCTTCATACTGGATGGATTCTCCAGGTTTGACTTTGGGCAGGGAGTGCTTGGTAGGAACATTTTTTTATTTGTAATATTTGACTCTTTTCTTTTCTTTTCTTTCTGATTTTCTAATGAATATATATATGTTTTTGAACAGGAAACTGCTGGTTTCTTGCGTCTATTGGAGCTCTGACTTTCCAGAACCACATCTTCGGCCAAGTTGTTCCCCTCAATCAAACATTCGATGAGGACTACTGCGGGCTTTTCCACTTCAGGGTAAATACAAACAAAACAACTGGTTATTACGTTACAAACATAAGGAACCATTATCATTCTGCTTCTTCTACAACTGGTCATTGTACAGTGCTTGAGCAGAGCTGTAGGGGAGCTGGTGTGCTCGGGCTGCAGCAAGTGGGGGAGGGGTGGATGGAGAGGCTACATAGATCAGTGTATTCTCAAGGAAGCAACAGTGTAGAGTTACGTCTGACCTATTTTAATGCAGGAAGGGATTGTCTTCATGGGAGAGAAGTTAAATGTGTAACTTTGATACACTGAGATCAGTTTTTTTTTTAAATAAATGAGAATCAGTTTGATGGCTGTTCTGGGGATGTGATGCCATCGTCACATGCATCAGGACACAGGGCTCGCTGCAAGTGTCTTTACTGTAGCACAGTTCTGAGTATTTGACGGGCTCTGGTGTGGAAAATTACATAAACGACCAAGTTCTGAAGCCTCTGATCATCTCGCATGGTCTTCAACAGCAGCTGGAGTTTGCTTATTTGGGATGTGTATATATCTAAGTGTAGACATGTACATTCAGAGCTCCAGAACAGCTTAGACAGAAAAAAGGATGCAACTTCTGTTTCTCTTATCACTATGAATTTCAACTTGCTAACTTCCAGAATTAAGCCCTAAACAAGAGGAGGAAATAGATCACATCTCTGTATATTTATGTATATTTATATTTACAGGTTGCACACTGTAGCCAGTCATTGAGTCCAAAATATCTGAAATGGCATTACATATGACGACAAGATCTGGAGGGACGAGTGTGTGTTGAGCACACAGTTGCACTGAGATGCGGCGACTTATCTTTCAACACACTTGGTTTCATTCTTGAGCTCCCGTTTGGGGGATTGTTTGTATTTAATGCTCTACCAGCATAGACTAGTGAGCACATGTGTAATGGCACAGGTTTGAAAGTATTCTGAAAAAATTCTCTGCTTGTGTTTCTGAATATGTATTGCATTTAACACATTTGTAAAACTTACTAAATGACAGAAAATGTCTTTTTTTGATTCAGTTCTGGAGATTTGGAAGATGGGTGGATGTCATCATTGATGACAAGCTGCCTACAATCAATGGCAGATTAATCTTCGTTAAATCCAAAGACCAGAATGAGTTCTGGCCTGCTCTGCTGGAGAAAGCCTACGCCAAGTATATCAATAAAACAGCTTTTTTTTTACCTTTGACATAAATACATTTTGTGTTATTTCTGTTGTACAAAATAATATCATGTCCGCTTGTGTCAGGGTTTGTGGTTCCTACACCGACATGACTGCTGGAACTCCTGCAGAGGCCATGATGGACTTCACCGGTGGCGTCCACATGTGCATCGACCTTTCGAACCCCCCTTCAAACCTGTGGGGGCTGATGTGCAGAGCCGGCCAAACCAGCACTCTGATGGGCTGTGGTACACCACAAGGGGTATGTAGTCATACATAAAGAGGCAATGCCAAAAGGTTGTTCATCGTTGTTTTTGTACAGAGCATGTAGACTATTCAGACAGAAACTGTGAATTCAACTCCAACCTGAACAAAACAAGTATGTTTCTCAGGAGAAGAGATGCTGTTGAGGCAAAAAGTACTGGATCAAATTCAGTGCATCCTAGTTGGCAAAACATCTGTTATGATGCAGAGAAATGATGACGGGATCACATCACTTCCTGCCAAGTAGTGTTGAGATCATGTGGGGGTAAAGAACTGTCAGACCATTGGATAGGGGCATCGCAGCTTGTCAAGTTTTCTCAAAATTTCTTTCACTTTTTGTTCAATTTATGGTTTTTATGGTTTTAAAGATATACTTTTGAACGTATACTTATTATAGTCTTCACTGCAGTTTGTATGTGGTGGTAGAAGCCAATAAAATACCAATGCACCAGTATCTATAGTCATGATCAGAAGTTTCCATATACCTGACTCCTATAAATCTGAATTTTCTATAATGGAACCACTGAAACACACACGTCTTTGTCACAATAAAACAATAGTGCATTTTGGTTCTTTCACTGATTGGTTATAGGTCTTCTGGAAATATGATAACATCTACTGGGTCAAAAATATACCCGCTGCAACTTGACATATCAGTTTTGTTGATGTAGAAAGTTGTGGTAATCAGATTTTCTTAGCATCGTGGCCTCTTAGCTTCTCATGAGTGACTAGTATGGACCACAGCTGCTGACTCCTATAAGCCTATTTAATAAGGGCCCATTTGATCCACTCATTAGACTCAGCCACTACAGTGGGAACGCTCTGGTTGTATCTTTGACCACACAGAAATGGTGCAGTTAAACGAAATCTGTTCTTCCTGACTCGGACTTGTTTCTTCATCACAGTCCACAGGCTCTTGGTGGGGTTTAAGTCAGGACTGTTTCTCTTTTCTGGCCAAATTCAGCCATTTCTTTACCATTTACGACGTGTGTTTGGGATCATTGTCGTGTTAAAACACCCATCTGCATCAAGAACCCGATTGTCTGACTGAGGATTTTAGGTTTTTCTGAAGAATCTGAAGGTAATCCTTCTTTTATTAAATGCACTTTGCAGAAAGCACCAGTTCCACTGGCAGCAAAACAGCCCCAGAGCATTATTCTACCACCAACATGGTCGACGTGGTTCAGACATGTGCACAGCTCCTCAGGCTTTAACATAGTAGTGCTTATGGCTGAGTGCAGTGAGTGTAAATTGCTCACAGGAATCAGCAGCTACAGTAACTGTAGTCACTAATGAGAAGTTAAGAGGCCATACATATAAATATACATATATATATAAATCTGATGAACACACCTTTCTACAACATCAAAACTGATTCAAGTTGCAGTATGTACACTTCTAATCCAGTAGATTTTGTCATATTTTCAGAGGACCTATAATAAAACAATGAAAGAACCAAAATGCATTACTGATTTTTTTGACAAAGATTGATTTCATTGTAGGAAATTCAGTTATAGGAGTCATTGGAAACTCAGCACAAGTGTATGCAAACTTTTGCTCATGACTGTACGTGTTCGTCTCTATAATGAGAACGATAAGCAATCATTAACTATGACTTGCTAGTTACATTTAACAGAAATTTATTTATAGAGAAAAAAAAAAACTAAATACACTGAAGTTTTTCCACTCTTGACTCTCTTTAAACAACACAGCTCTCTCTAACTTCTCGTAGATTAATCGTAGGAACTGGACTTGCTTGAGTTCCTTGAAGACGTGTCACCTCTCATCCAAGAGGCTTCATCAGTTCCGACTTCAAGGAACTCAAACAAGTCCAGCTGCTACAATTAATCTACGATAATAACCATGACCTGGATGACTGAGAATCTTCACACACAACACTCTCTAAACTTTATACTAAAGAAAAAAAATCCTGTTTCCAGTCTTTGTGCTAAGCTAAACTTATTACATGCTGCCAGTATCTACATTTACCAAACTGACAAATCAGTGGTTTTATCTCTTGGCAAGAACGAAAATAAACCACAGCTGCATAATTCATTAATGTGTTCACCAACCGTTTCATTGTGACAGACAGATGAAGAAAGATATATTAGAAGTAGGCCGTTCTAGCACACTGTAAGATAGTTTTCCTTGGAAGTCTGTTTTTGTGTGTTTTGTCATTTTAATTATAGATGAGTCAACTTTGATGGTGATGAATGTCTTTGGCTTGCAGGAGACATCTGCTAACACCGTGCTGCAGAACGGATTAGTCCAGGGCCATGCCTACACTGTGACAGGCGTCAAACAGGTGAACAACTGCACTTGGAATTACACATTAATATAATACCACTTAATTCATTGGTCTTTAAGCTTCGGCTTAAAGGATAGTTTGGAGAAATTTTCAAGTCTGTCTTGGCTAATGGAAGTTATGACTTCCATTTTTTGGCCCAATGCAATAAAGTAAGAAGATCTGCTAAATGTCAGGAGGTCACTGTCAAGGTTTCTAGCTCACATGTGGATTGTGTTTGGTTATGGACACCCCTAACTGTAATATGAATACAAGTATGGACAGGTTAATGTGCAGTCTATTCTGGAGTATAATCAGGACTTCACAACGTTATATTTCCATATCTTGATTTGGTTTTGCAGAATTCCTGAAGCACCATATGGGTTTCAGGTGAACTTTAACTTGAGGAATTTTTATTGTTTGAGGACAGACTTTAAAAAAAAATATCTTGAACTGATCCTTTCCTGGCAAATGTCTGTATTTATGTAAACAGTAGTTGCATTTTTACATGTATGCTACATTTTAATGGTGTTTGTCTGGTGGTGATTGGTGGTCAGGTTCAAAGCCAAGGGAGATTTGTAAACCTGGTGCGTTTGTGGAACCCCTGGGGCAAAGGAGAGTGGTGTGGAGACTGGAGTGATCAGTAAGCACCCACTTTGTGACTGTGTCCTAAAAACATGTCCAAATGTAATGTTTTTTATTTTACTTTTAGCTAGGACCCAGCAGGTTGCTACAGACAGGGCTGTTTCAAAGCATATTCACTCCATTGGTATGTCGTGAGCTGCAGGGAACACTTCAAAGGGTTAAAGCCTTTTGGATAAAGAGCATGAGAAGCCTGTCAAGCCCTCTTCAGAAAATTGCTCTCTGCTTATTCTAAAAACTGGTCAGGCTAGTTACTGTGCAGTAATCCAGTGTAGCGTGTTGCCCTAAAGGCAGCTTAAAGTGTTGTCTTTCATCCACGCAAAATGTCATTGTCAAGTTGAAAGTCACGGCTCTTCAGGATGGTGTTTTTGAATGTTGAAAACTGATAAGATGTTGTCTCATCTCATACGTAAATGACAAACTGTCCTTCAAGGTCATCTCTGTGGCAAACTGTGAGTCCTCAAGATCGAGAACTGTGCCTGTCAGTGGCAGATGATGGAGAGTTCTGGTAAGTAAATTCAGTCTCATGTGAGAACCTTGTCAAAGCAGCTTGAATTTTCTGAGTCACTGATGTGTACAGAGGTTAACAACGCTGCTTTATAATGACAGCACATAATACATTATCACCTGTGTAGATAATAAAACAGGTTGTATACTTACGCCTTGCTCTGAAATGAAACACTTTTTATGACATATGTACTGTACTTGACAAGCTTTTATATTTTTAACACATGTCAAAAATACAACTAAATAAAACACAACTTACCTCTGACTTCAACAGGATGACCCTGGAAGATTTCTGTAGGTTCTACACAGATCTCGACATCTGCGGCCTGAGTCCAGACTTCATTGAGGGAAGCTCCTCTTCTCAGTGGAAGACCTCCATGTATGAAGGCCGCTGGGTTGCAGGAACCACTGCTGGAGGCTGCATGAATAACAGAGGTAGTCACATAGTTAGAAAGGACCTCACACTGTTTGTTGTTTGCCATAAACTCATGTGTTTGGAAATTAATTGTGATAAATGATAAAACTTTTAAGCACCACAAAATTGCACTTTTCATGTCAGAATTTAAGGGCTGCACGGTGGTCAGTGGTTAGCACCGTTGCCTCACAGCTAGAAGGTCCCTGGTTTGTGTCCTGGTGAGGAAACCCCAGATCTTTGCATGTTCTCCCCATGCAGCGTGGGTTCTCTCCAGGTTCCCCGGGTTCCTTCCACACAGTCCAAAAACATGCTGAGGTTCATTGGTGATTCTAAATTGTTTGAACTATAACATGACTAATGTATCCAGCAGATAAGCTAATCGAATGCTAAGCTAGTGTTGCGTAATTAGTGTTTTTGGTCTTTTGTCTTTTAGTTTTTGGCAGCTTCTGTGATTTGTATTGATTTTGTAAAATCAATAATAATAAAGTCACAAGCATAACTTAAGATAAGATAAGATAAGACAGTGTTTTACATCGTATCTTATCTGAGCACAGACCGCTCAAATCAGAGGTTCCCATCATGCAGTAAAAACAGGACAGCAGCATTGAAAGCCTTTCTGTCAGAATGTCGTCACGTTGATGGGAGTATGAGGTCTTGGTAGTGTCCCTCGTGGGTCTGGTCTCAGATGAGGGGTCAAACAAAGAGCTCTTCACAGCTAAGCCTTATAGAGCAAATAATAATAGAAAGCTCACTAGGAGGAGGGGAACCTGAGCTCTGTCCTGGAGGGATGGGAGGCCAAAGAAACAACAAGGGACTGTCACCAAGGAGGGAAATAGGGGTCAGGTGCATCCATAGTGGGGCAGATGGCTCCTGACTGCTTTACTGGAGGAAGTGACCAGAGATCAGGACACGTGGGCCACCTCGCTTAGACTGTTACCCATGTGACCTGATTTCTGGTTGACATGGTGGTATAACAGCTCCCACTGACTTTGAATTGGCATTTTGTTTAATAAAGTATAAGCAACATTTCACTAATTCTATGTGGCTATAAGCTTTGGATAATTCAGTTTCTGCCTTTCTTTCAGTTTCACGTTCAATCTAAACAAGGCAAATAAATATAGCATCTCTCTGTCTCTGTCTTCAGAAAGTTTCTGGACCAATCCACAGTACCGAGTCAAGGTTTGTGGTGAGCATTCAGAGAAAGAGGGCGAAAAAAACATGCTGGTGTCTCTCATGCAAAAGCCTGACAAGAGGAACAGACGCCTGGTGCAGAATCTTCACATTGGATTCTCTGTATTTCAGGTAAATGTTGCTGTTAACTATTAATTAAAGATAGAGTCATGCAGGTTGAACACATGGAAAGTAGCTTGTCAGATTACATGAAAACCCTGCTGTAGCTCACAAAAGCCATGATGATGTATATACAGGCGTTTTACTGCTCCTAGTTCCTAGTTTTATTTTCCTAAACTTATATTTCTTCAGATTTGTGGATTCCACCTCTAACAACGAAACTATACCGTCATGCACTAATAAAACTGAATGCAATTCCTCCAAAAATGAGAGTATAAATAATATCTAAAACTTCAATTCAGCAACAGTTGAGCAACAAAACGGTTTCAGCTTCAGAGTGACTCTTTAAATGTTCTTATTTACATATTTGAAACATATTTAAAATAACTGATTTTCCTTTTGTTTCCAACATGAACAATTTGTCCAATCATTCCCTTCAAGATCACTGAACAAGTAAGAAACTGTTTTTATCCCACTACCCATTCACACACTCCAGCAGCTTGATGTAAGAGAACTGAAGTATCTGTGTTGTGTTGCAGTACAAGGCACAGAGAGGCAAATTCCCAGCCACGTTCTTCAGCAGCCGAGCGCCTGTGGCCCAGACTAAAACCTACATGAATTCACGTGAGGTGATAGAGTTCTTCATGCTGAAGCCTGGCGAGTACCTGATCGTTCCCTCCACCTTCAACCGCAACGAGACGGCCTCCTTCCTCCTGACCATCATCTCCAAGTCGGAGACCCAGTGCTTGTACGTTCACACTCACAGATATGACTGTCAAGACACATTAGTGGTGTTTCACATGAAGAAAAATGATGACATATATGTTGATATTTCTCCACAGTGAGAATTCTGGTGACCATAACCATGAGCCAGTTGAAAAGGTGTGTAATAAATAAGATGCTGTAATATTGTTGGTATCCATTTTAATCTTGCTGGCATGTTATTAACTATACATTACTGTCCTTAATTCACAGGTCAAGCAGGTTAAGAACGCAGGGGAGGATGAAAATAAGAAAAAATTCTTCCGTCAGTACTCCGACAAGGTGATTTTTTTGCCAACATGCTGCACCATTGTTCTAATTTTAATCCCAAAGTAACCGTTTATTCCCACTTTTTAACCTGTGAATCCTACATAAACCATACTAAAGCTGCTCTAAGTGATATTTTTATTTAAACAATGTGTCGTGTTTGTATGATGTGAGATGGTCTTCAGACAGATGTGACCTCTGGGACTGACAAGTCAATCCAATGCACAAGCACTTTAAACCTGCATTCTTTCTAACAGCCAGCAGGGGGCGACTTCTCTGGTTGCAAAAAAAAATTATCAGAAAACAGAACTACTTCTTACTCGATTTGTTACTTCAGTAAACTTTTTCCTAATAAGTTTATGGTCTCAATCACAAGTTTTAAGTCTCTTGCAACACAGCATGACGTCATTTAGCAAATTATGATCCCATTTAGAGCAAAATAGGCAATAAAGCAAAGTATGTTTATTTTTACGTGGCGCTACCTTTGCACCCATTAGTGCACTTGAGCTCTCTTTTAAATCCACCCTTCGAGCGTGAGTTGAATCCTTGGCTGTTAGCGATCATAAATGCAGGGGGAAAAAAAGGACAAAGCAGTTTTTTTTGCCATCTCAGTGTGAGTAATCATCTCAGCTTGGCCACTCCTACAGTCTGGCTGTGTCACTGAAAGTAAACATATAGGCAGAGCGAATATTAGACTTTGCACTTATTGCATCCATCAAGTAAACAATAACTCAACTCAAATGGCCACTTAGATTGTGCAAAAAGCAAATGTTTGCTGACATGTTTGCCACACAAACTGATCAGTCTATATTACAGTACAATGTGCAATGTGTGTGATGTGTCTTAGTGTAAGAGGTGCAGACAGGAAAAAGTAAACCAAACCATTTTATCTCCAGTATGAAGAGGTCGATGCTGAGCAGCTGCAGAAGATTCTAAATGAAAGCATCCTGAAAGGTTTGGACTATTAAAAACTCTTAGAAACTAGAGCACAAGAGCACAACAGACATTAAAATACTTTGTGAGTTAAGGATGTGTTTTTATATACTGTGTGAAACATCTTTTTGATGCTTTATTTAGGAGACTTGAAATCAGGAGGTTTCACCATCGATGCCTGTCGCAGCATGGTTGCTCTGATGGACGTATCCTGTTGTAATGCGTCTACATGTTGCAAATAATGCATTCACATATGTTATGTTTTGCACTTTTGGAGCTGCTGATATGTGAAAAGAAACTGTAGATATATCAAACATATGATAGTGTACATGAAAACAAACCTACCTGCTGTTTTGTTGATACAACACACATCACTGGATTTGAAGGTCGGTTAAGACTTGTCGCTTTGCTGCCTTGACGGTGGGTTTAAAAGACATCGATCACAGGCAAACTGAACAGTGAGGAATTCGTCCGCCTGTGGAACAAGGTCATCGAATACAAGGTAAAGGGAGTCCAGCTGAAGCAGGCACATAAATGCATTTTCATTCAAATATACAAAACAGCAATCATTGTTGGTGTTTTCTTCTGTTACCAGGACATTTTCTTCCTCACTGATGTTTCACAAACAGGAACGCTGTCACTGAGCGAGCTGAGGAATGCATTCATAGCTTCAGGTAGACCACCGTAGAGTTCATAATAAACAATAGGAACACACTGAAAGAATTGAAGGAGAGAAAAAAATCACAATACTGTGCACACACACATACATACACAAATATCAGAACATTTTCAACACAAACCAACAACATTAAAATGGGAATTTGGGAATCTGGAGTCAAATATCAGAATCATACTAATTTCCATCTATTATTAACTTCTGATTTTTATTGAGGATGACCATTTCTGTAAAAGGAAACACAGTTTTCTTTATCCTACTGTTGTTAATACTGTGATTACTGAATCCAAATGCAACTCTGAAGCTTATCCTCAGAAACTGTGTGAATTTCTCCGTTTCTATGTGACGTGTTTTTAAAAAAAACTACCAATAATCCCTCATAGTGATGATCCCAAAGTCTAGAAATGACTCACACGCTTTGCTGTGAGAAAACAAAAACAATGTAATCCTAATTCAGAACAACTTCAATCCCAACACGCTGGTGGGTTAAAGCATTAGCAGTAATATTAGCTACTAACCCGCTACCTCAGTGTGCTGAGACTGCGTCCAGTAGAAGGAAAAACAGCAGATAATGTGTTTTCCTGCAAGTTGAAAAGATCTACGGCTGCATCTCTGCAAGTTTTTCTTTCACCATCAGGAGTTAAGCCTCAAACCTTAGATTCCTCCTGGTAACACAATATAGTGCACATGAGTCGCCTGAATACTTGCACACATGAGCCTTGTGCTGCTCCACCCAGATGTTTTCTGGGTCAACTTGTAAATGAGCGCCGTAAATGAAACCATCAGATAGAAGAGACAGAAGCAAAGTCCAAACTTTCCCTGGCTGATAAAGAAAGAGGCATCACATAAAAGGACGTGATCCTCCCGTCTGATAACGCCGTGTGATGGGAGAAGAACAGGGCTGAATAAATGCATGCCAAGGAGGTCAGACAGTCCATCGCACTCTAAATCCTCACTGTTCAGCTAAACTTGATCCAGCTTTGTGGTCAAGGAGCTTCTTCAATCGAACTAGAGGCTTAGCATTTATGATTTTTAAAAGTATACATACATATAAGTACATAAAGAAATAGACCCAAGACCTTGTAAATATTTCTGGGTTTGGCTAAACTCCAGACTGAAATGAGTGTGTGTGTTAGTGGCAGGCTTTATGGCTGGTAAACCGTATGAGATCTGATAGCACGTCATCACATTACAGGAACATTATAAAGTACCAAACTCCTCCTGAACTGTCACTGTGTGTGTTTCAGGAATGGGAGTCAGCGACGACATGCTCAACCTGATGGCTCTACGCTACGGCGCCTCCTCTGGTCACATGACGCTGGAGAACTTCATCAGTCTCATCCTTCGCTTGGGCTGCATGCACAGTGAGTGAAGCCAAGTGGGACAAATGATGACAAAAGATTCATGAAATATGAGAAAACGTCCACTGTGCTCCACCATGTACATAAATAACAAAGCGTACAATCTCACACGAGGAACATTTGAAGATTTCTATTTAAAAAGGGGAATTTTCTGGCTTACAATCTGTGTGTTGCTCAACAGAAATCTTCAAACAACTGTCTGACGGAAAAGGCATGAGTCTCCAACAGTCAGAGGTAATAAAGTTGCTTCTTCTTTTCTCAACTTTTCACAAAGCACAGCTGCTGATAACCCGCCTCTCTTTATTTCCAGTGGATGTACATTTCGATGTACACGTAATCCAGCAGTGAGGATGGATGCACAGGTCATCTGGAGGTACAGGCAGAAGTATTTCAAAGGTTTTCTTCACGTTTGTCAGACTGCAAAATGAAAGAAGATGTACTTTTCTGTGAATAAGTCATTAATCATTACTACTGCTGAGGCACTGCAGAAAATAATGTGAAAACTGGAGTCAGATTTCTCTCAGTATAATCAGACAAAAGAAAAATCTGAAGGATGGCTTCATTTGAGAGTGAATAAAACTCCAAAACCCATTAACCAAAGAGGACACGCCTCTGAGTCAGAACTGTGAACTACAAGTGTGGCGGTGCAAATGGCAGAGCTGGCAGTGAAGCTACGAAGCTAACAGTGAAGCTAAAAAATGTGATGAAAGAAGCCGAATGAACTGTGAACAAAAGGTCACATGACCATAAACAGACCAATAGTTACAATTTTATTTTGGAGATGAGTTTTTTGCATCAGTGAGTTTTATTCCCCCTCAAATTCTTAACATGTTTAAAAAGTTTTATGTGATTATTTGACATGAATCTGATTCCCTGATTGCCAAACTTGTAACATAAAGCTGAAACATCTTGTTGATTTTATGTCGTATTACATGTGGAACCTTATTGCATTTACAGGACTGACTGCAGTGTTTGTATTACTGGCAGAACTATAACATATTCTCACTCTGTGCTGTTTATAACCCAGATATTGTACAAACACATTACACGTTTCAGTTACTGGCATGTAATCATTTGAGCTACAAAAGCAATGTAGACCATTTTATACATTTTTAAGAATAAAAACAATAAAAGCTTCTGTGACAATGTGTCCAAGTTGCTCTTATGTTTACACCACGCCATGTTTTCCTGCACTCAGCAAGAACCGATCAAACCTCGACATGTGGCGTCGTTACAAGATTATTAACTTTGTTAGCCTTATCTGCAGTTCATCTGTGTGTGTTTTTGTTAGGAGTTCAACATTTCGTGCCCATAAAGTTAAGCAGAAACATTTACAATGTGATTGAAATTCTGTCAAGCTCAGCTGTGTTCACCATATGTTTGCTTCTGTCTGTCATATCTTTCTTATTGAAAGTAAAAGTTAAAACTGCACTGCAAAACATTCCACTACAAGTAAATGCATTTAATATTTGAGTTATGCATTCTTAAGTAAAGTAGTCATCCTTCAAACTGTTGTGTTTAGTGGATAACTGCTGTTAATAGGCAAACATTTCAAAAATTAAAATTAAATTCAACATTATAGTTGGTAGCACTGTTGCCTCGCAGCAAGAAGGTCGCCGGTTCGCATCCCGGTGGGGGCACCGGAATCTTTCTGCGTGGAGTTTGCACGTTCTCCCCGTGCAGCGTGGGTTCTCTCCGGGTTCTCCGGCTTCCTCCCACAAGGTCCAAAACCATGTTGAGGTTAATTGGTGATTCTAAACTGTCTGTAGGTGTGAATGTGAGTGTGCTTGGTTGTCTGTCTCTAAGTGTAGCCCTGTGATAGACTGGTGACCTGTCCAGGTGAACCTGCCTTCACCCTGAGTCAGCTGGGATAGACTCCAGCCCTCTGCAACCCTTGTGAGGATTAAGCGATGCATAGATAATGGAAGTTTGACTGTCCGTTGTGGCTTTTTTCTTTGGTGGGAAAATGTTTGGTTTGTTTAACCACCTCAGGGACGATTAGGACAGTTTGATTGAGGTTGTCATCATGTATTTTCGAAATCTGTAAACATTGAAGCAACAGAAAAAATTCTCATGCAAACGTTATGGCTTTAATAACAAGTTGATCCCACCAGGCTGGCATTCCCCCAAATATGATGTGTCACGGACGCAACACCTAATTATTATTTCATAGCCAAAACAAACACTCCACCCTCAGAAAATCTCAGTGTAATTACTGACCTGAAGCTCAGTGTGTGCTCCCAAAGACAAACTTGTTTTCTTCGGGAGTTTCAGCTGAAGTAGTAAGTGTCTGATTAAAGGTCAGCATGTTTTACTGCTACAGCCTCACAGAACAGCAACAATAACATCTACACTTGTTCTTACAGAGCTTTATTGTGTTTTAAAGAGGACTGAAACTCGTCAGTGTGGTTACAGTAGTTAAATTGAGTCCATACGATGTAGTGAAATCTGAAACGTGTTTGGATAATGATTTTTTTTAAAAAGAAAAAAAACAGAGGAATATGTTTACACTATAATTATCTTAATAATACAATGCTTGCAGTATTTCTATCAGTCTAACACAAAGTATGATTCGATCTCCAGTCCATGGATGTGTTTTGTCTTCATGTTGGTCCATTGGGTTTGTTTTCACATTAATGGGCTTCGTAATATCTTGACAAAGTTCTAAAAATGCTGTTTCATTTACTGTATCAGTGGCTCAATGCAAAAAAACAAAACAAAAAGAAGTTTCTGTTTTCATTTTGCAATATGACAAATTAAAGCAAAACATTCGCTCTTCTTTCCAGATGATGAATATTCATCCATCTTCACTGCAGGGTTTAGGTGTACATGGAAATGTATATCCACTAGAAATAAAGACAGAGACGCCTTGTCATTGGAGTGTCAAAAAAGTAGTGCATCGTTTTTGTTATATCTGTAAAATGGTTGCGATCAACAAGAAGAACCCAAATGCTGAAAACCAGAGGCAGGTTAAAAAGACAAAAAAATAGAGTGAGCTTTACTCACAAACAGCTGGAACAGGATTACAAAAAAAAATGAAGGGAAGGTAAACAAAACACAGGGAGCAGGCTGAAGCAGAGTCCAAGGTACAGGTAGAGGTAAAGCAGGGCGAGGCTGAGAGGCAAAATGCTGGAGAGCTGTGGCACAAAGCAACACAAATGAGCTGATTGGAGGAAATGGCAGCTGCTGGCAGGAGGCTGAGCAAGTAGAGACACTGAGGATCTCTGGTGGCCGAAGAAGTGATTTGAAGACCAACAAGACTGAATCAGTGACTGAATAAGTCCAGGACTAAAACTAAATAAAATTAATTTAAGAAGGCGATTTTTTTTTACCTCCGACTCTCGAAGACTCATCCCTTTTCCATCAGACAACTTTCTGAAGATTTCTGTTAAGCAGCACATAGATTGTAAAACACATTATGTATTATGTTGGGCCATCAAGGGTAGGACAATGTTAGAAGCTAAACAATCTGTTTTCAACTTGTTGCGTCCTATATGGGAAGTTTTCCTAGTTTTATGTACACGGCACAGTAGATAACCACTTGAGAAAATCTATTCTGTTCACATCATTAGATCTTTATGTCATTGTTCGTCCCATTTGGCGTCACTCACTGTGCATGCAGCCCAAGCGAAGGATGAGGCTGATGAAGTTCTCCAGTGTCATGTGACCAGAGGAGGTGCCGTAGCGCAGCACCATCAGGTTGAGCATGTCGTCGCTGACCCTGAATTCTGACAAACACACACAGTGACAGTTCAGGAGTTTGGTCATTTACTTCAATCCTGTAACGACTTGGTGTGATATTCCATAATTGACATTATTCTAACTCAAAGTTGGTCAACAAAGACCTGGTTTGGACATACATCACACTTATTGCACTCACCCAGTCCCTGTCATTTTTTTTTTTTTTTGGCAAGATCTTGTCATTAAAAAAAATTTAAAATCTGTTAAAGAGAACCATCTTGAGCTGAATTTCATCTAATTTTACCTCTGACTGCATAAAATTTGTGAAGTACTTCCAAAAATAGTGGAAAGGACCTAACTGTGTCTGAAAATGCTTGCTCTTGAGCTACATGCATAAAATAAGTGGATTGGTGCTGAAGTTGTTAACTAAGGTTGAAGCTGGGTGCCAAGTCATTTTAGGTGTTTGCTGGCCTGGGGGTCTCCTGAAGCAGCACACAGGTACCGACAGGCAGGAAAATTTTCAGCAGAAACTGGGTGTGGATGACCACTGAGGAAGAGAATGCAAGGTTTGGTAGGAGCGAAAAACTGCTGACTGTTACTTAAGACATCATTGGTAGTGGAAGAAGCTATTCAAGGAACTCCTGAACCCGATCAACATATCCACTGTGACAGAGTCTGAACCTGGAGTCTCGGTGGAAGCCTAATTTTTACCCTCAGTAGAGCTCCCTGAAATAATAAAGAAGTTCCTCAGTAGCAAGGTACCAGGTGTAGGTAAGTTTTTCCCCCGAGATGCTGAAGGGACTGGACATGGTTGGGTAGTCTTGGTTTCCTCCTTAGGTCTTGTCCACATGTAGCTGGGTTTTAGTAAAATTGAATATCCTGCCCCCTCCATCTAGAAAAAAACTTAAATATACACCACCTCATTTTTAGAAAAAAATTAATCCACATCTAACCGCATAAGTGTGTTTTTAAGCACATTTATATTCTACGTGAAGATGTAATAACTCCGACGACAGGAGCAATGACCAGGACATACACAAATTGTCACGCCATTCCTTTGGGAGCACGATTTCCATCTCAAAGTTCTCCCAACAGCTGGCAGTGCGTCCCGGTTTGACCAAAACCGGCGTCAGTGTCTTTGACGGAGAACATGCCTTGGACGTGGAATGGCAAGGTGGCAGAAAATAACCGTCCTTAACGCCGTCCTTCGCTTGTGTTCTTGTAAGTGGAGCGGTATCTGGGCTTGTAAAAACAAGCGCACAAAAAGCGCCTGGACAAGAGACAATGCCAACACAGTTCTGAGGGAATCCACGCTGTTTCCAAATGTAAACACAGGTCGCATATGTGATGTAAAGAACATATTTTGTCGCAGGCAGTGATGTTTTGAAGCCTAGACCCCGGTTCTTGACGTCCACATGCAGACGCATAAAGGGATGATTTGCAAATCTTCACTTTGGTCGGAGGTTTTTGAAAGAATTGTTTTTAATACCGTAAATCTGTGTTTTCATGTGGATGACAGGCCACATCATAGAAAAATATCTTTGCTTTGTGAGATACCCTGCTACATGTGGACGAGGCCTGAATGTCACGAGGAGGTTGGGGAGTGGAGTGGCAGACCAGGATGGTGGTTCCCATTTTTAAAAATAAGGATTGCAGGGTGTACTTCAGTTATTGGGGTATCTCAGTGCTCAGTGTTACGACTATTCGAGGGTGTTTGAACAGAAACTCTGACTGAGAGTCAAACTTCACACTTAGCAGGAACAATAAAGATGTCGCTTTGTTTTAGAACCAGTGAGTACTGCAGGAATATGGAGTATGGGAACATTGGTAAGGGAATCCATGAATCCTAAACTGGTCTACCTGCAGCTATGAATGCATTCCTCAGCTCACTCAGCGACAGCGTTCCTGTTCGGGAAACATCCGTGAGGTAGAAAATGTCCTGGTAACAGAAAAAAACAATTTCAGGACAATCATGTATATACATTTTTAGACGTATAAATGGTTTAAGTTGGTAGATATAATGAATGTGATTATAAAACATGCTTTTTGAGAATGAGATAACTGAGCTTGACTTGATTTCCTTTACCTTGTATGCGACCACCTTGTTCCACAGGCGGACAAATTCCTCACCGTTCAGTTTGCCTGTGATTGACGTCTGTTTTTACTGACGATTAAGGCAATAAAGTGACATGTCTGACTTTTAGTTGATATTGTGTCTTGTATCAACGAAACAGTAGCTACATTTGGCATTTAGGTGTTTTATTGCAAACTACGTTTATACGAATGAGACAAAACGGATACATCCATCAGAGCAACCATACTGCGGCACGCGTCGATGGTGAAGCCTCCAGATTTCAGGTCTCCTAAATAAAACAGAAAAAAAGCGTCATCATACATACCGTAAAGCTTTTATGGTGAAGCACACTAGAATACTTTAAAGTTCAAACCTTTCAGGATTTTGTCATTTAGAAGCCTCTGGAGCTGCTCTGCATCCACTTCTTCATACTGGAAATAAAAACACGATTATGCTTTCCATTGGTGAGCTGATCTTCAGCCACGTGTGAACAAAACAAATAAAACCATCTGTTGTACTAAAGGCCTTAATTATTGCAGGCTACAGTGCAGAACTCCACAAGTCAAACATCAGATGGTGGACATATAATAATAAGACCTCAGACGGCAAATATAGCTCACATGTTCGCAAACCGTTGTTATTTACATTTTATCCAGCAGACAACAAAAGCAGCAAATCAGTCTAAATCCAAAATTCTTTTTTTTCCAAATTACTTGGGAACCACATATACATGTTTGATCCACTAAAAAGGGCAATAATAAGATTTGATGAGGGCAGTTAGCCTGCACCAAAATAATAAAAATGCGAGATGTAAAACCAAAACAATGAACTGAATGTTCACTTAAAGACGTAACAGAACTGAAGTGCGCTGAGTGATAAATCTAAGCTGAGTGCAGCTTTAAAGATAAGATAGATAACAATATTGCACATGGTTATTCTATATTTAAACTATGTCTAAACCATCTAAATTTGTAGTCACCCTAAATGCTTAAAACACTTTTAATTGAGTGAAATTCAATAGAATTATTTTGATAAAATAAATTTGAATAGCTACAATTATGCCAACAATAATAATAATAATAATAATAATAATAATAATAACCTTTATTTATTGAGCACTTTTTAAAACAAATGTTCCAAAGTGCTTTTCAATAAAAAATAAATTAAAAATTAAAATACAATAAGCACACAGAATCTTTGCTAAAAGTAGAAAGCACACAAATCAAACAGGAAGCTAAAAAACTTAAAACTTAAATAAAATCAGGGAAAGCTCTCTGATAAAAATGTGTTTCAAGAAGTGACTTAACAGACAGCACAGAATTAGACGCATGCTGATTTTTAACTACCTTGTCGGAGTACTGCCGGAAAAAGTCCTTCTTGTCTTTGTACTCCTCTGCATTCCTGATTTTCTTGAGCTGAGAATAGAAGAGAAGATGAGAAAGAAATTCGACATTTATGCTCTAAATTAAATCAAACTGTAGAATTCACATAATACTGTAGCTCGTAACACAGCAGCAAAAATATAATGAACACCGACAAATGTGATGTTACATCTCACACACCTTTTCAAATGGTTCCTGTGGTCTGTGGCCACTAGAGTTCTCACTGTAAAGACAAACCAAACACACGTCACACAAGATTTGTGTCTTTTATGTTGATCTTCATCTACATATCCAGTAATGTGTTGCTCTTGCCATGTTGTGATAATTTAGTGTCATTGTGTGTCGTATCTTGACGTGCACATACTAGCACTGGGTGTCTATCTTGGAGTGGATGGTCAGGAGGAAGGAGGCGGACTCATTGCGTTTGAAGGTGGAGGGAACGATCAGGTACTCGCCAGGCTTCAGCATCAACAACTCCATCACTGAACGGGCATTGAGGTAGGTTTTCGTCTGGGCGGCGGGCGCGTGGGTGAGGAAGAAGGAGGCCGGTAATTTGCCCTTCTGTGCCGCATACTGCAACAACACAGATGTTTCAGTTTGATATCAGTTTAAAAGAGCTGCTGGGGTGTGTGTACTGAGAACAAGGAAAGGGATGAAAAACGTTCTTACTTCTTCAGAGATCTTCAAAGAAATCAGAGGAAAATTGTTCATGTTGGGGACAAAGAGAAATGTCAAAGTCAGAAAACAAGTTTATATTTATACAGTTATAAGAAATGATCATCAAATTTCACTATCTAAGGTAATATTAAAACATGTGTACAGTCAAGTGACATGATAAGCAGACTTATCTGCAGCCGTTTAACCAGAAAACCGTCTGCATGGACTTTGACTTCACTCCTCTATTTACCGTACTGACTTTAAATTTTACTGCAACTATCTTTTGGTGAATAAGCACATGACCCCATGACAACATGTTTATGAGTTCAGAGAGGTTCAGAAGGACTGGGAGGTTGGAGCTCAGTTACCAACACTGGTATCAAAGTACAAAAGTTTGGGTCGGCCTGAATATCGGAGACACCAGACACCAGAAATGAATTAATATTTGGATGTTGTCTTGTTTCAGTAAAGATTTTGATATTATTTATGGATGGCCTCATCAGTAAGACCCATTCAGTGGAATAGGGTGATTGCCAATGTAGAAACTGAGGGAATAATCATTGCAATAATCTTCATATATTCCTCTGGTCTTGAGATTTCAGTTAATATGCCCTCAGCTACTTTGCATGCTTTCTGTATGCACGACGTGTCCACAACAAACAACAAAGAGCAATATTTACCTCATATATAAGGAATCCAATGTGCACATTATGCACCTGCCGTCTGTTCCTCTTGTCAGGCTTTTGCATGAGAGACACCAGCATGTTTTTTTCACCCTCTCTCTCTGAATATTCACCAGTAAGCTTGACTCGATACTGTGGATTGGTCCAGAAACTGTCTGGTGGAGGTAAACAAGGATTTTTTTGCATGAGGTAAATATTAATTACAAGTATATCTCGAAGCTTTATTAACAAATCAAGTAGCTGCATGAGCTTGGGTCGTGTATCACCGTTACCTCATCATTGGGAGGAGAAATCTTTTTAACGCAGTTGTTCTACTTTTACTGCAACACGCTTATCACTGGTCATAACACCTGCTCCACTGGGGTTTTGTCTTATCTTTAAGCACTTAAAAGTTTATGGTGCATTAGTCTTTGCCAGGTAACGATGAGCTCTCAGAATGCTCTGCTTTGACTTGTCATGATATAATGTTAGGAACTGCTGTACCTGCAAAAAACAAAGGAAGTTTGCAAACGTACCAATCTTGTTAAAGCAGCACTAGTTTATGTTGTTATAGTTACGAATCCAGTTTTGTTTTAATCTGTCATGTCAGAGGGATAATACATATTACGATGCACCATTCCACCTACTGTTAGCGACTTTAGGGTTTCAGATACAACAATAAAATGATCCATTTAACATTATATTAGTCCCTTGGTGTTATCGAAACAGCTCTGGATAATTTATGTCGACAACTAAATCACTTGTTGCACCATTCCACCTACTGTTAGCGACTTTGCGGTTTGTTCCAAGATCTGCGGCGCAACCTTGATCAGCGTTATCAGAACTGAACCGTGCCAAACAGGTACAACAATAGAACTATCTGTTGAACATTATATTAGTCCCTTTGTGTTATCAGAACAGCTCTGAATAATTAGGTCAAAGCAGTGTCTTATGGTGCCCGGCACTGGGACGATGTCTGCACAGCTTTTGGGTCTTGGGGGTTATGAAGTGGTGTCTCTGTGGATCAGCTTCTTCAAGTGCATCCCACAGACGCTGGATCAGATTAGGATCTGGGGAGGTTGGAGGCTATGTCAATACCTTGGGCTCTTAGTCATGTTCCTCAAGCTGTTCTTGAGCAGTTTTTTTGCGATGTGGCACGGGGCTGGACGTTGAAAGCTGATGCCGTTAATAGTGTGTGCTGGTGTTGCAGCAATGTCTAGGTGGGGGTAAGTGTCAATGAAACATCAACATGGATGTCAGGACCCAAGTTTTCCTGCAGAACTTTGCAATTAAACAAGAAGATCACTGTTATTCATGTTTGTATTATTTAGTCACTTTAATGCTGTGACTGATAAGTGTTCAGAAGGTAATTGAATCTAAAATGCTAATGTCAATGTTAATCTCTTGGTTCTGTTCAAATTTTGTGATTTTTTGCCCTTATTAGAATTTTTACTATTATTAGGGTTTTTTTTTTGTTTGTTTTGTTTTTAATTCTCCGCAATTTGTTGGAGCTTTGAAGTTTTACCAAACACAAATTTTAGCACCTTCGCATCTAATGTTGGACAAATAGTATGGAATCTTGTTTAATTATCTGAATACCTCTGTTATTTATGCAGCCTCCAGCAGTGATTCCTGCAACCCAGCGTCCGTCATACGCGGAGGTCTTCCAGACACAAGAAGAGTTTCCATCAAGGAAGTCTGGACTCAGGCCACAGATGTCGAGATTCACGAAGAACCTACAGAAATCTTCCAGGGTCATCCTGGAAAAAACAGAGGCGGATTTTGATGTTTAGTTTTAATTTGGATGCATGATAAAAAGAATTATGAAACCTTAAACTTGTGAAGTACAGTACACAACCCATGAGGTAAAAGGCATTTGTGTTTGACTTTTGCCATTTGCTCACCAAAACTCTCCATCATCATCCACAGAATGGCACAATTCTCGATCTTCAGGACTCACAGTTTGCCATAAAGGTGACCTTGAAGACACAGATAATGTGTCATCATCAGTTTTCAGTTTTACAACACATGTCCAGAGCCAGGGCTAAGCCTATCCAATAGCAGCACCCTGGGGGACGTTAGATGTAGGATATTTCCCTTTCAAATAATAGGGACTAACACAGTTAACAGGCCAATTTTGAAACTAATTGCAGCGTTCCACTGCTTTGATGGCATTCACATTTAAGTTTAGAACCATGTCTTTGTGAAACGGTCACTGAGTGGGAGCTTACCGGTCACTCCAGTCTCCCTTCCACTCTCCTCTGCCCCAGGGGTTCCACAAACGCACCAGGTTTACAAATGTCCCTCTGCTCGTCATCTGACCACCATTAATCACCACAGAAATCACCATTATTATGTACAATGAAAGCAAAAATACAAAAAAAAAAGGAAAAGAAAACTCTATACTGTAGAAAGGAGAAGCTGAGAAACCTAACTGCTACAGTATGCCTTGTCATATTCTTATTACAGTATATGTACTTCCATTTCCAAGTGCAGTATGTTACCTGTCTGACACCTGTCACGGTGTAGGCATGGCCTTGGACCAATCCATTCGGTAACACGGTGTTAGCAGGTGTCTCCTACAAGCCACAGACATGCATCATTGCTCAAAGTTGATACAATTAAGCATTAATTGCATAAACCATATGTTGTTGGGTAACTTGGGTCAAGGTTATATACCAACAGACAATAAAGCATGTTCATGTCCATGTAATACTGAAGGGATTTACTCGTGGTTAAATATAAGATCAGTTCAGTTCACAATGTGAACTTTACATTTGAATTAGCTAAAAGCAATTTTTCAGCATTTTGGGAAATCAGGTCATCTATTGACTTGTCCAGACTTAGGGGTAAGGTCAATGTGAGGCTACTGCCAACAGCGGATAAGCCTAACTTAGCACAACGACCAGAAACAGGAGGCTTTTGACCCTAAGTCTTATAAAAAACTTCTGTTGTTTGTAGATGGAGCCAAATTGGTCTTGGGTTTACCTCGTTATTGTGTGCACTTTTGTACCTGCAGCCTTCGTCTGCTCAATCCATAAACCTTACACAGACATGATAAGAGCATGCCAACAGTTTTAATGACGTCTCTTTTACAAGAGCTGTGTAAAAAAAGACTCAGTGTTTTTCAGTTACATGGGCAGGTTGCAATAACACAGACAGTATCTGGGACTCAGCAGGCTGAATGGCGCCGCTGTATGCAGCACTCTTCAGAGATCCAAACAACAGCCACATGGCAAGACAAAGATCATTTGACCAGTGGGATCTCTAAGGTTATAGCCCTTTCTACATTACACTTTGTGTTTTTGTTTGTGATTAAAATCCTTCACTGGAAACATTTCAGTGGAAGTGATTGTTTAAAATGACAGTTGCGTTGATATTGCTTCTCTCAGAATCATAGCTTTTGTGTCACTGTCTACATTTGTAGGGACATGTCGCCCTTGAGGTGTCTTCCTGTGTATATATATTTACAAAAATAAGCCAAATGAATGTGATTTTGTCCAGGGGCGATCTTTAATGTGACACTATGAGGAAACTCTGACTCACTGGATGCAGACCACGGGTATAAGCCTGCCATTGGCTGCACAACTTTCTCTTCCCCTTCACAACTGAAAACAAGTACCCTCCAAGCAACCTGCTACACTGAAGTATTGATCATGCAATAAGACAGCACTGCTAGCTTTATAAAAAATAAATAAATAAAAATTGTGAATTAGCTGTTTTAGTGACTGTACTCTTTATGTGCAAATGTTGCATCACTATTTTAAGGGCACACTTAAACACACAACTCAGCAAGAAAGCAAAAAAGAACATTTCCAAGAGCTATTCCTTTAAACAAGGTCAGTCAGGTATAACGACTCGAGCATGATAGAGTTGAGGCTTTCCTTATTAGTTCATTGGGAGAAACTGTTTCCTGAAATTTAAAAAATTTGAAATATTTGAGATGCTCCATAGCAGTCACTCATCACTTCAACATTTTTTGTCAGATTTGTCCTATCATCACGAGGAGGTTGTGGCTCAGGTGATAGAGCTGGTTGTCCTCCAATCGCAAGGTTGGCAGTTTGATCCCAAGCCCCTCCACAGTCGAAGTGTCCTTGGGCAAGATACTGAACCCAAAGTTGCTCCCAATGGCAGGCAGCACCTTGCATGGCAGCTCTGTCACCATTGGTGTATGAATGTGTGTGTGAATGGGTGAATGAGAAACACATTGTAAAGCGCTTTGGATAAAAGCAGTATATAAGTGCAGACCATTTACCATTTACCATTGCTTCCATGTGTTTTGTGCACTGTACAAAAACAATGATAAACATACCCCTTGAGGTGTACCACAGCTCATCAGATTGGTGGATTTGCCAGCTCTGCACATCAGCTCCCACAGGTCTGGAGGGGGTTCTGAGAGCTCGATGTGCATGTAGACTCCACCGGTGAAGTCCATCATGGCCTCTGTAGGAGTTCCAGCGTTCATGTCGGTGTAGGAACCACAAACCCTGAGACAACCATACATGATATATTCTTTTTTTTTTACGGCTGTTCCAGAAATAAGACAAAACTCTTTTATGTCTGAGAAGTAGTGTCCTTTTCTGTACGTACTTGGCGTAAGCTTTCTCCAGCAGAGCAGGCCAGAACTCATTTGGATTTTTGGAGTGAACAAAGATTAATCTGCCATTGATTGTAGGCAGCTTGTCATCGATGACCACATCCACCCATTTCCCGAATCTCCAGAACTGAATAGTTAAGAATAAAAGAAATACATAAAAAAAAAAACATCATTGATTGCTGACACATACGTAGAACGTGCAACTGAAAGTGTAAGAAAGTTCCATCCATAAAACTCAAAGCCCAGGACCATAGATGAAGGTAGGAATGTTGATTGACTGTATGCTCAGGTAAGCTCATGTTCACCACAGTGATTCAGTACAACTCCTACATTAGTGCTGAGGCCACATCAGTCCGCCTGTAAATCTTGTATTTAATTTTAACCTCACACGTAAAGGCCCCAGATACTTGAACTACTTCACTTGAGTTGGCAAATAAGTCATAATTCTAAAGATGCAAACCTCCATTTTTTTTTACTTAAAAACATGGCCTTATAAGTGGAGGTGTTGACTTTTATACTTGAGACTTCACTCTCTGCCCCAAAACTTCCCATGTTCATGCTGCAGGACATGTTGCATTGAAACCAACAGAACCATGTCATCTGCAAAGAGGCAATTCTGACAGCCAAGAAAAAAAACTAATTATTGGGGCAGACTTTTAGAAACTACATCACTCCGCCCAGTTTTGGGAGATTATGGTTTCCTCCTAGTCAGACATGATAGAGACGTTTGCTGGCAAACAGGTAAAGCACTAAAAATATCATGGAGCAGCCAACATGTGGGCCCATCACCGACAGGATGAGCATTTACAGACGGATTCAGAACACATTAAGGGCACCTAAATTCAGTACAAGGCCCTGTCTATCGAAATATTGTTTCAGAAAGTCTGATTTCAAGCCGTGTTCAGTGAAAACATGCCCATTAAAAAGAACAACCAGTTGTGTTGTTTGTATTTACCCTGAAGTGAAATAGTCCGCAGTAGTCCTCTTCAAATTTTTGCTCGGGGGGGACAACTTGGTCGAAGATATGACGCTGGAATGTCAGAGCTCCAATAGATGCAAGAAACCAGCAGTTTCCTGTTCAAAAAATACTCGTTAAGTCATCAGAAAGTCAGAGAGGCACATGAATAATTGAAGAATTGGTAATAAGGAGATTTGCCCACCAAGTATTCCTTGACCAAAGTCAAACCTGGAGACACTATGTTGTACAAAGGACGGATTAAGAGCAATTTTCTGAAACAAAAGAGAAAACTGACGTATCAACAAACTTTAAAAAAAAATTAAAAGGGTAAGTAAATATTTTTCTTCTGGTCTTACTATCTTAGTACAGTGCTTATATTTGCATAAGTGCACAGAAATACTAAATCCACTGTACTACCCCCCCTCTGCAACATGGCAAGGAGCAGAGCTTCACTGCAGTAAATGAAACATAATGTATGTAGAATTATTATTTTGATTATATCATTTAGTTATACTTATAAAATCTTAAGGTTTTGATTAACATGTCATTTTAGCCATATGAGCAAAAACCAGACCTTACTAATACAGTAGCATCATTTATCCCTTCACCTCGCTTCTGCACATCACAGAGTCACAAATGAACTTCTGTTTTGACATGTGTTTCAGTAAGAATTTAAATTGAACATTGGGTTACACAATCTTGACATTTGTATGTGCTGCTGTATTACTAATTAGTGGTTGATTTATGCAGATATGTTGGGCAGGATTTTTAAGACTTTTGGATCTTAAGGTGTGGGTTCAAAAATGCCAATGAAAGTTTTGTCTTTTAAAGATGAAGCAAAATATTCATTCCCCCATTCCCTTCCCGGCAGTAATTTTTGTACAGCCCATAAACATACCACATAATTACAGCATGTCAAGAATGATCTTGTTTGTTTGTTTTTTTAACATGAACGATATGTGAGATAAGAAAATATTTCTGGAATTGATTCCAGAAGGTGTAAAACAAAGCATTCTTTCAACCAGACCCTAGCACAGTATGTCATTTAAAACATGTCAACTTGCACATGTGCTAAGACACTTAGCCAGAAACCCAGCTTACCTGTATTTGATCTGTGGGAGGCAAATATTTAAAACAGGGACAACATGCAAACTCTACTTAAACCTGTCAGTCACTTTGAGTCTGAATGCAAAACAGTACTAAAATCGCATCTCTGCAGTGTGCTAGGTTTTTAATATCAACTGAATCAATTCAGCTCAAACACATACTATACATTAACACTAGTAACACTTACCGCTGGTCTCAGCCACACCACATTGGCCAGATCAGAGGGGTCCAGCATCCCGTGACCGATGGAGTTCCTGTCAGGGGGGAACATGTCGTCGATGTAGCGCACTCCTTTGATGAGACAGTACTGTTTCAGCTCCTGGAAGTCTTGGCCAAAGAACTTGTCAGGGGTTTTGAACTTCCCATAGCCATCTTCCATGCTACGATTCTCCATAATATTCAGACACGCACCGGGGGGAGGCATTGCTGCAGCGTTTGGGGCCTGCTGGCAAGAAGTTTGCATTCATTGAGAGATGAGTGAGAAATGAAAGGAAAAGCCATCATAAAACGTCTGAGTGAAGTGTTTAAAATGTAAAGCGTGGGACTGAGGTCACGGTTGTGAAAATAACAAGAATGCACCAAATAACAAAGTAGTGCAAGACTTTCTCCTTCTTAAGGCATTGTTACAGCATTAGTCAAGTGATGTGAGAACCACATGTAAAGCAGGAATAACCGGCTACAATACTTTTGTACCATAAGACACTGGAGCAGAAAGTAACACACTGGGCGCAGATGATGCATAAACATGATCCATCCATCCATTATCTATACACCGCTTCATCCTCACTAGGGGGGGCTGGAGCCTATCCCAACTGACTTAGGGTGAAGGCAGGGGACACCCTGGACAGGTCACCAGTCTATCACAGGGCTACACTTAGAGACAGACAACCAAGCACACTCACATTCACACCTACGGACAATTTAGAATCACCAATTAACCTCAACATGTTTTTGGACTGTGTGGGAGGAAGCCGGAGAACCCGGAGAGAACCCACGCTGCACGGGGAGAACATGCAAACTCCACGCAGAAAGATCCCGGTGCCCCCCCCCGGTGCAAACCAGTGACCTTCTAGCGGCGAGAAAACAGTGCTAACCACCTGCGCCACCTTGCAGCCCTGTTTATCTTGCAATTTACGGGGTACTATCGTAGGAAATGATAAGGTTCTGGGTGAGAGGATAAAATAATTGTGCTGGCAACTTTATCTTATATTGTATTCACACGGATCAAAACACTCAGTGACCCTGAGTGGAAGCATTTGCATTTGGCATGTCTTTCCACTAATGTTTTTTGTTTACCTCCTGTCTATATCAGAAACCTTTCATATCCAAAGACCAGTCCAATAAATCCCCATCAAACGACTGCTGTCCAACAGGAAAAATAGGACATTTTTATAACATGAAGTGCGTATTAAAGACAACCCGACCGTGGATCACATATAGACTCATACAGACACAGTTTCCTAAAGTATGAACTGCAACAACATTCCCGGTTTGACTGCAGCAAGATGAGCAACACATATGCAAATATGCTGCAAGCTGTAAAATCTGAATCAGCCTGTTTAAAATATTGTAAGGAGCTCTTACCTCACTAGCTCAGAGAGAAAAAGTAAAGGGGAGGTGCGTGGACCAGGAGAGGCTTCGACATTTATATGTCTGTAAATGTATGAAGTCACCAGGGTTTGTCCGGTTTCCTTGTGTTTCTCACCCTGATATGCAAATTACCTTTGAACAAACCCCGCCTGTGGTCACCTGCAGCCTTATCGGGTTCTTGCTGTAGGTGATAACAGAGGTGAGACACTGACAGGGGAAGAGTTTCACTTTCAGCAGAATGACTCTGCAACCACCCGCACAGACTTATAATTATGAACCATCATGATTTTGTTCTGGTGTGCTCAGAGCAATAGAATGGCCGTCAATGATTAGCTGAGGCATTATCAGTCACATTAACAGCACAGGTCTGCACACAGTGGAACTGGCCTACTGTTTAGCGATGCATCCTGTTAAAGTGGGAGGAGATTCGAGTCTTTTAGCTGCTAGTGTGCACAAAAGTTTTCACAGTGTCAGCTTTATTTCTCTTCACATGAACCTTTGATAGTCTGCGATTGCCATTAAAACACCAAGTTAACCAGCCAATAGGTTATTGATGCCAACTTCCTGAACAAGCAGCGTTTATGTGACTACAGAGGAAGATTTAATCATTGATTATATGTAAATACTGAATGCTGAAGTCGACACCATAAATATTTGGACATTGACACAGCTGTTGTAATTTCGTCTCTGTACACCAACACCAAGGGTTTGAAACAAAACAGTCAAGAAGTGGTTTGACCGTTTAGGAATTTCTATTTCCATTTCCATAGGCTTACTAATAAGTAGTGAATTTCGTGATAAATAGTTTCATGGCCAGGTGCAGCCTGTTTTGTAGTTATTCAATGAAAAATCAAGGAGATAAAAGGCCCCGACCTGCTTCTGAATGTTGAATTTGCATTTGGTATCCCGTCATGGGGGAAAAAAGACAAATGTTGGAGAGAAAAAAAGAGAGAGAGAGATGACAGAAATTCAGGAGTTGCAATATCAACAGCTTGGTCGATTCTTAAGACCTCCCTTACAATAACAAATGCACTGGCGAGCTCAGCAACCCCAAAAAAAGACTTAAAGACCACACATAAAGTAGAAGAATCCTTTTCCTGGTAAGAAACCCCTTTTTCACAACATGCAGCCAATTTAAGAACACTCTTGTGAAGCTTGGTTTATAGTTGGGCAAGTTTACAACTAAGGGTGACCTTCATGAATGTAAACACTGATGGTTTACTGCAGCATGCAAACCCCTGATAACATCAAGTAGTGACTTCCAGAAGTGTGGAAGTGCCAAAAACTGTTCTGTGAATGGTCACTAAAGGTCTGGAACGAAGAACTGAGTTGTAAGTAATTTCTTCCATTGTATTGAGAATTAAACTTGCATAATCAGGGCTATGGCTAGATGCTGAAAATGGCAGCTTTTTCCAAGGATTTGGATCGTGCAGTAAGGCGCCCCTGCTTGTGCCTGATTTATTATTGAAATAATGCTTCACCCAAATAATTACACAATGCCCAAGACACCTGTAACTGTGTAGGCAGACCCTTTTATCCTCTCTACAACAGAAAGATAAAGGTGGAGGTGAAGCCAGATTGTTCTCCAGCACTGACGTAGTTCTGTGAAGATATCTATTACAACGTTGCATTAGTGGATTGTCTATAAATTCCCAAATGTCCAGGTGAAGTCAGCAGACTGTATGTGTGAAAATATAATGACTTTTACAATGTTCAGATCTGATTTCGATCCACTGTTCTCTCTACTTCTTCCGACTTGGACGCAGCCCAAACGTTGGTGTGTGCCAAAATAACAGAAACCATTGTCTCTTCACACAGTAATTCTTCATTGTTCAAACAATAGCCAACACACGGTTGTTTTATGGCGTACAGAGTTCATGTTGAACATCTAAGTCAGATTTTACAATTGTACTGGCTGTTATTCTTTATAATAATACATGTATTGCTTTTCCGCTGCACAGTGAATAAAAACAACAAGAGCAGAAAGCATTGAGTACATTTAAAAACAATCATACATTATTTTATGATTTGAAAGTGGACAGGTTCAAGGAGTTACTGATGTTTGGTGGTAAGGAGTTCCAGAGGGTGGGGGTGGCAACAGAGAAAGCCCTGCCATACAGACACAACTATGACCTTGTTTAATCTACTGTGATGTAAGACGATAGGAAAGGCATCATCAGTTGGTCACTGAACTCTCACTTTAAGTCAGTCAGTCATGAACTTCATTAAACTTACTCAGTTTCAGACATTATTTTAGCTTGTGGCTTCGGTTTGGTTGCTTTTTTGGTCTTATTTTGTATATTGTATTAATGTGATTGTTTTTATGATACCGTGGCACATCAAATACATCACATAAATAAATCTTACAGCTATTTTACAAATGAGACGCCTTTGAACACACGTGGCCACCAGATGTCGCCATACAGCACCAACATGACAAGTCAAAGAATCCACAAGCGTGATAATATTTACAGTTTCATTTAGCACACGCTTTTATTCAAAGCGACGTCCATATCAGAGTAGACACACATTCAAACACCAATGGCTGCCTGCAACTGGGAGCAACTTCAGGTTCAGCATCTTGCCCAAGGACACGTAGACTGTGGACGGCCGGCCGACCTCGTGATCAGAGGACAACCAACTCAACCACCTGAGCCACAGCCGCCTCATAGCTTACCCATATCTGGTATATCTTTTCTTAAGCTATTTATAAACCGACACACTGGCTAAACCTGCTCTGTGGTGCACTGTTTTGTTTTTCACAACATATATTGTCTTTGTGAGAGCTAAGTGATGCACTTGACATTTTGACTGTTGTTGTCTGCACCGGTCTGTTATGTGCACACGTGCTGCTCTGAGCGTCTCCACCCTTCAAACTTGGCAATACATGAAATAACATAGAGAAAAATACACAACCCTACATGTTTGCTTTCTGCACTTTCAGCCCACAGCATCCTGTTTAGGCAATCTTTTTATCAAATCTGACTGCACCACTCATACCTTTATCACATTAGTTTTTGTTGTGTGGATCATAAATCATCTTCGGGCAGTTTGTATACTTGCATGTTTATTTAACACTGGATGAACAAGAAGCTGTACATTGACTATAAATACAGTGTTGCAGGCTTGGCTGAACGTTTTTCTTCTCTTTCTGCCCGCATGTAAGAGGCACCTGCAGCAGACAATAACTCAGCTCAGGTGGGGCTTGGTAACTAAACGTCTCATGGAGCCTCAGGCATTCGCTGGCATTATAAAAGCACCTGAGCTGCTTTTCACATTCTCGCTGTTCCACTCAGACTCAACACTTTCTAGCCGTGGGTGAAGAGGTAAGGTTACGATCTTTATATGCTGGTACCATTTTAAACAGATAGATTTACACTTTTACTTACAGTTTAGCAACTTGTAGCATTTTCTATTGTGTAGTCAACATTGTTAAGATTCGTTTGTGCACTTATGTAACAATCATGACTGACTACACAGTATGGAGATGAGAGGTGTGTGTTCTTTTGTATCTTGCATAAATTCTGACAATTCCACGAACGAATATCTCCTCCTTGGCATTTCGTAAAGGGCAGAACCGAACCGTGCAGAGACTAAAAGAGAATCAGCATGATTTGCACCTTATTTTTCTGACATATATCTGAACACATGTTGAATTTCCTCCAAAAAAATCTGAATCAAGCTGTGCAGAAAATGACAGCAAGCAAAGCAACATTTTAATTTAAAGAGTGCAATCCAAGGAGGAAATGGCACTTGTTGTTCTAACTGGATATTTGCTTTCGAAGTGAAAAAAAAATGAGTGTAAACAGTCTGCAGTGTGACCATGCATGTTTCCACACCCACATTTGCTATTTGGATGTGATATAAAAAGATCAAGTGCTGAGAATAATAATCTATTTACACACTTTTTAATGTTTATTCTTTTTCAACAGAGCTGAACTGCAGCAATGCCGACCTCAGGTGTGTGCAAGAACATCATCAATGCCCGTCACCTGAAAGATGGTTATGGGACTGTCGCAAACCCTTTAAGGTTTAACGAGCAAGACTTCCAGCAGCTGAAGCAGTACTGCCTCATCCGCAATGTGAGGTACATCGACGACATGTTCCCCCCTGACAGGAGGTCGATTGGCCAAGGGGTCCTGACCCCCGCTGACATGGGAAAGGTGAAGTGGCTGAGACCAGGGGTGAGTGTTTCATTGACTGAAGTGACCATAAATCACAGTGAGTGTTGATACTCAAACAGAGGGCAGATGATAGAATTATACTTGGAGTTAGGGTAAACTGGGGTTACGCACCTTTGTTTGTGTGTTGTATGCATATATATACCTTTAACTTTATTAAGTATTTTTGACCGCTAGTGGCCGAAAAAAGAAATAGAACAAACACAAATCATTTATTTTGCCAAATCATCATGTTTCTGTAGAACTGCTGCATGTGTACATGAACAACTATTATCCCCCAAGTTTTCTAGATCAGCTTAAACAGTTAAATATGTCAAATATGTGTTTACAATTTGCATATTCTTTTCAGAAAATAGTTGCCAGTCCATCTTTTGTTCTTGATGGAATCTCCAGGTTTGACTTTGGCCAAGGCGTTGTTGGTAGGTAAACTGCTTCACTCACTAGAATTCCCTAAAATGTGTTTCTAATCATTGTCATGCAAGTTCAGCCAAGAGGCAGAAAACAGACAAAAGTACCGCACAGTGTTATTAATAGAGCAGTCGCAGCAGTGTTGCATAGTGAGCTGCACAAATCTGAGTGACCAGTTGAAAAGGTTCAAATCGCTTTTCAAACATAAAGTAAATACTATGAACACAGTTCATTAGTCTAATTATTAGTAATTACTGTTTCATGTACTGTGTGTTTCATACATACAAGGACACAGGTAGACGTAAGCAAGCCACTCGTATACTCCCAGTGTGAGATGAATCCCACATTTTAACCTAGACAAGAATAGACAAAGAAATTATAAGGCAAAGGTATCACACAATTCATGTTTTAGTAACGTGTTGATCGTATGACAGCAAATTAAGCCTTATGCATAGGCATGTATAAGGTATTACATCATATAAAAGTACAAACACAAATGTTAATTTTCTTACAATGTCAGTATTAAGGGCTCCCTCTATCTCCTTTATGTCACTGCAGTAATGTGTTTTCTGCCTCTTGTGCTGTGTTACTGTCGTGAAGCTGTAAACCCATCATTTCAAATTTTACTGTTGTGCCTGCATGGTTCGTTTTTCTCACTACTGAATGACCATTTTTTTACTCAGGAAACTGCTGGTTTCTTGCCTCTATTGGAGCTCTGACATTCCAGGACTACATCCTTGGACAAGTTGTTCCTCTTGAACAGAACTTTGAGCAGGACTACTGCGGGCTGTTTCACTTCAGGGTAAACAGCTGGTTTGACATTTTCATAAATGGAAAAGAATTGAGCACGATGCTGTGATCTATTTGCATAATCCAATTCCAAAATGCTTTATATACATTTTAAAGGTGAATCAATACTTCAAATGCAACATACATCATTTTACCTTAAAGGGATAGGTCAATAGTTTCGGAAGTAAGCAGCTTGCTTTCTTTCCAAGAGTAGGATAAGTAGATGGATTGTCTTCATATGTGCAGCTACTATTACGAGGGTGTCAGCTTAGCTTATATTTATACATATAAGAGATAACATGTTAATTGCTGAGCTTTAAAGTAACTGGTAGGTGGATCTGATTACCTTTGGACGGAGCCTGGCTACCCGTTTCTTGTTGTCATGCTAAGCTATGCTAAGCAGCTGCAGGCCTTAGCTTCATATTTAGTACACAAGCTTAAGAGTGGTATCAGTCGTCTAATCCAACAGTAGGAAAGAAGGTGGGTGAGGGTATTTCCCCGAATGTCAAACTTTTACTTTAAGTATTTGTACAGAAACATCCAATTGTCTTGAAGTGTTGACAAATATAATGTTTTACTTTTTAATCACTACCAACCCAAATTGTCTCAAAGTCGATTGTGTTAATGATGTCTAAACCTCATCTTGTCCCCTTTTTTGTCCCCGGTTTAGTTCTGGAGATTTGGACGATGGGTGGATGTCGTCATTGATGACAAGCTGCCAACAATCAATGGCAGACTAATCTTTGTCCACTCCGCAGATCCAAATGAATTCTGGCCTGCTTTGCTGGAGAAAGCCTACGCCAAGTATGGAAAAACACTGTCTTGTTTCAAAGTTATAAAACGTATTTTCTTAGAATGAGTATTTGTCCCTGAAAGTAACTCCACACCCTCTTGTACCAGGGTGTGCGGCTCCTACTCTGACATGAATGCTGGAAATCCCTCTGAAGCTTTGGTGGACTTCACTGGCGGGGTCCACATTTGTATCCAGCTGTCAGATCCCCCTCCTAACCTGTGGGAGCTGATGTGCAGAGCTGGCCAGTCCAAGTCCCTAATGGGTTGCGGTACAGAGCAGGGTGTAAGCACAACTATACACCACACAAAATCACACACTGGCTGATTAGCCTTTCTTTTGAAAATTGTGGCGAGCCACTCTGTCTAAAAGTCTAAAGAGTAACGTGGTGTTATCCCAGACACGATAAAGACCACCTTGGTATGATGTCAAAGACCGATGTTAGATGTGGTAATAGACCTGCATAGCTGTCACATTCATACTTGTGCTGGCAGGAAACTAAAAACATGATGGCTTGGTTCCCATTCTCAGTAGGTGTGTTAATAACTTTCCCTAGAGACTGAAAAACTGCCTGCCAACCATTGTGAGTTCTGGCAGCTTGTCATGACAGATGCATGACAAGCTGAACTGACTTTCGTGACAAAGTTTTCTTGTGCTAAGACAATAGGATGAATACTGCTAAATGTCATCTTTTGTGAGCCGTTAATCAGAGTTAAAATGTCACATTTTAGCAAGTGTTTATACAGTCGTATCCCTTTAAATGCCTGACTTTGCAGTATTTTTTGGTTATTGAAATGTTGGGATTACTTCAGAGTTTCTATCAGCACAAAATAATGTTTGAAGTTCGTGACCAGTATTCGACTGATCTTAAACCAACCCTTTAGTGGCTCCACGGAAACTTGTTATTATAAGTTTGGTTTTTTTTTTAAAAAAAGCATACACATGGATAATAATCATACATGCTCTCAAACAGCTTTTGTCTAACTGAAGAGATTAAATGCTTGGAGCTAGTGCCATGTTGGGAAAAAAATAAAAATTCAACGGTCCGGATGGCCCTCTCTAATGATGCGTGAAAGTGGTTAATTAAGTGGATGCGACTGTCACATAGAATAAACCAGTTAGTTTTCAATGAGTTTTCACATAATCTCCACGTTTCATATATATTTAATTTTGGAAGCGTACTTTTATAGAGAAGGTTTAATTTTAGAAAATGAACTTTGAAAATCAATAATAAAATATGCTGATCTATCTGTACTGATAGATAATTAATTCAATGACACAGAATGTTTATCCCTTGCCTCTTTGTTCTGTTATTAACAGTTATTTGTGGCAGCTTTGTTAATAGCTTCTACAAGAAAAGTGCTATTTTAACAGTCATTAGGGCATTTCAGGCTGATCGAGGAAAGTTAACATAGAGTTAGATTTGCTATCTACATCACTAGCATTCTAGTTATTTCAATTATTATCCTTGTCTTATTCGGTACCATCAATGTTTCAACACCAGAAAACACATAATGAGCAATATAAGCCAAATCAATACAATGACTGAGTCTTTCCACCTTTACGGTCACTCTACCAATGAAGGTCTCCAAAACAAAGAATTAGACTTCCAGGCTTTAAAATGCAACAGACCTAAGGAACCAATCCTGTCAACTTGCAGAGTGAGCCGTCATATCATATCATTCTTCTGTCTGGATGGAATACATATGGCTCAGCTTTTCATTGGTTAGCGTATAGTAGTTTTACAGGGTTTGAGCTGAGTTGTACGTTTGTCGGTGAGAGGGTGGGGAGGGTAGATGGAGAGAGAGGTGGCGTCTTCTTGGAAGAAGCAAAAGAGCAGAGTTACATTTAAGTCTTTTTAAGGCAGGAAGGGATTATTTTCATGAAAAAAAAACAAAACAAAACTTCTGAATATGTAACTTTGACAGGGTTGAGTTTTTAGGTGTTTGATCAAAGAGTGTAAAGGGCCTTTAATGGTTTTTCATAGCTGTGACTGGAAGAGTACGCTGCAAAATCTAATTTGTACATCACTAGTTGTAATGAATACATGAATCTATATTTTGCAGGAGACATCGGCCAACACTGTATTACCAAATGGACTGGTCCAAGGCCATGCCTACACCGTGACAGGTGTGAAGCAGGTAAAGAACAGCATTTGTTTCAAAGGTCATTGCAGCATTCAGTATTCAGTGGTCATAAAAAGTTCTCTGTCAGATTTTTACACTTCTAATGAAACTTATCTCAAGAAACAATTTGGTTCTTTGTGGAGTTTTAGGGTAATAAGACCTTAGGTTTGCCTCTAGTGTAAAGCAGGATTTAGTAAAATAAGTATATAGTATAGTGATAACGCTTGTGTCTCTGTGGTGATGCCTGGTGGTCAGATGATGAGCCAAGGGCAGCCGGTAAACCTGGTGCGTTTGTGGAACCCCTGGGGAAGAGGAGAGTGGAACGGAGACTGGAGTGATAAGTGAGAGCGATTTCCCTTCTATCAATCTGTCACAGGCAAACTGCTCTGGTTTGCTGCCTTCAGACATTTATTATTAAGCTCATTTCCAGCAATGGATAAAAAAACACATTGTAGAGGATACATCTACTTTTTCATGCAAATATCAACAGTTTGTGTCTGCGTCTTTATACTGTCTACTATACTACTAAATATGTTTGTCTTTGCACAAAGGGGTGGAGTATATTAGGACCAGTTAACATGAGAGGCTTCTCTGTAGTTGATAATCTCATAATTGTAAACCGGTTGTGTCAGTTGAGGGCAAACATGGGAAGGCGAGCTTTGACAGGCTGTACTGTTGGCAAGGTAAATCACAGGAAATAATACTGTACCCTGGAGGCTTCATGAGTTGTAATGAAAAGTTATGTAATGTATTACAGAGCGAACACCACCTCTAAACTTGTGTAGGTGCATTAATTTTTAAATTAGATGAGGTTCACCAAACTTAAAGCAACAGACGTGCTTATATAATCGATGACCTCATGTAGGTGTCTCAAATGTAAGTTTGCTTTAGGGGAGTCTTCAGTTGGTTGTGTGCTTTTTAAAGAATAGCCTAATCTCCTCAGTTGAGAAATTTCTCAAACTGGTTTTGGTAGTTTTCAGTTTTGATGGACAGTGAAAGCAGCTTGTTGACGTTTTCACTGCGGAATATAATGGGAGCATATAATCAGATGCATTTAAAGGTTTATGTCTTTGCATGTGAAATTGTGAGCAATTATACAGCTGCTGGTTAGTGAAAAGCTCCACTGATGCACTTTATGAGTTAAGTGCTTGAAGACAGTTGCGCTGCTCCAGCAAATTGTACACGTATATAAAACAGAATGGGCCCACACAGACTGTAGAGCTCATGGTATGAGGCGGATATGTCCCAACTGGTCTTGACTTGTCAGCACCGGAAGCGCCAAAAAAACTCTGGATTCCATTTGTTTCATAATGCCACTACGTTAGCTTACACGGGATGTTGAACAATGGACAGTTTAATCCTGATTTACGTTTGTAGTGAATGCTGGTTCCCAAGTAGTGATTTAATAAACCATAAAACCTAATATCTGATTAAGCTCAGCCGACTGGCATTGCTTTTGTCAGCGTTCAGACGAATGACCCAAGGGCAGACACCAGGCGAGTTGTGGCAAAAACAGTTTTAATCAATCAAAACTACTTACCACAAGGTGCAGAGCAAAGACAAAGCGACTGGAGGATCCAGGGAATGGACATGATCCAATAAAAAGTAATCCAAAATGAAATGAATCCAAAAAGTCTCACGGGCAAAAATCAAAGGGGCATGAGGAACACGAGTAAAGCAAACAAGCGGTCAAACATGAGGTGAATGAAAATGGTGTACAAAAAACACAAGTTTTGTGAAATATAGTTCAAAATGCTCACAGTTTATATCAGTAAACCATATTTGTAAGTCTTCGATATGGCAGCAACATTCTGTATTTCCTTCACTGTTCACTCTGAAAGGATCTTATGTATGAGCAAGCTAACGTAAGCTTTGTCTCTTGGTTCAGTCGTTGTGCTACTTTGTCAAACTCGTGTGCTTTTCATAAACTGAGCTCTGTCCTGTTTTAACACCTGTCAGAGCTACTGTTGTGAATTTTGGAAAAATGTGTCTAAAGCAAACACATTGCTCAATAATTCAGCACCAATCATTTTAGAGGTGGTTTGTGGCTTGGACGTGTTCAGAGTGCAAAATGCCAAAACATGCTCTGCCTTGTAAAGGAGCCAAAGAAAATCAACTAAACCCTCTTGACTGTTTGGCTCTTTTTCAGCTGGAAAGGTCGGTAACAGAAAGCACCTATTATTTTTAATCCATGTGTTGTATTTGCCTCTCACTGTCGAGAAGCGTCTGTAACAACATTGCCTCTCCTCTTTCTTCACTGACAAATCACTCCCAAAGGTCACCTCTGTGGCAAACCGTCAGTCCACAAGATCGAGAAATGTGCCTCTCGGTGCGCGACGATGGAGAGTTTTGGTAAGCATGTTGAAATCAAGATCATGTAACAGGATTCAAAATGTTTTGTGATACAGTAATACAAATCAAGTGTAGCAACTGTAAAACATCAGTGGAATACAGACATTTTTGTATAACAATGCACACCCTAACCTTAATCAGCTAAACTGATTTTAAAAAGTAGTGTATTAAGTCTTATGAAGATATGTTTTAAACAATATCTATACTTATTGTTTCATCAAAGACATGCTACTGCTTTATGGTGGCCAAAAAAAGCAAATATAACTGAATTACAATTTTAAAAAGGTGTATTTTTTAAATTCCATTTTGCATTCATAAAGACTGCATTCACATATTTCGTACCTTGATGTCTGTTTTCAAGGATGACCCTGCAAGACTTTCGCAAGTTCTACTCAGATCTGGACATTTGCTGCCTGTGTCCTGACTTCCTCGACGGAAGCTCGTCTTGTCACTGGAAGACCTCCTTCTATGAGGGCAGATGGGTTGCTGGAACCACTGCTGGAGGCTGCATGAATAACCGCGGTACGTCTAAAATACATGGACTTATGCAGAACTGCCTCCATAAATGCAATAGATGGAGACTGATGTGTACCAATCAAAAGTATAAATGTGTTGGAGGCTACCTGTGTAGGCTTTGTGTAGATTCAACACAGGGCCATAAGTCAAGGTTCACTACCCGTCACTGAAATTTGAAGCTAATAGTATGAATTTTAAACTACAGTTTCCATAATTTGGAAGCCATCAATGGGATGCATGATATCACTATGAAGTCAGCAGTTAGCTCATAGAACGGGTTCATTGCAACCAAAAAAGAAAGACAAAAACTTTAACCTACTCTTTAGCTTTGCAGTACACCCATGGATGTACAGTTGACGATCATTAGACTACTTTTTAGGGGGAAAAAACATGTAAAGGTTGTTGATAATTTAAGTTGCACACTCAAGCAGAGAATCAGTGAGCTGCAACTGTTTGTTTTTTACATTCTTCATCTTCTTCTCAGAGCAGACAATATGCTGGTATTGTCACAAATTTCATGAAGAATCAATCTGAGGAATCACATACTTTGCTAACACTGGATTCTTTAGGTTTTCCCAAACATTATCAAAACAACAAATACTGCCTCCGCAAGCTTCCATCCAGTCCCATAATGTGATAAAGAGCTTACATGTGGTGTCTGGAATCGAACTTATGAATAACCGTATCACACGAGTTGGAGATTTGTTTTTCAGCTTTTCAAATTAACCAACGGATACATCATACTCTTGGCAAAACTGTCTCCCCCTTTGCCTTACAGACAGCTTCTGGACTAATCCACAGTATCGGGTCAAGATAGACAAGTTATCCAGCGAGTGCAGTGAGTCTCAGGGTGAAAAAAACATGCTGGTGTCTCTCATGCAAAAGCCCGACAAGAGGAACAGACGCCTGGTCCAAAACCTGCACATTGGATTCTCTGTATTTGAGGTAAATATTCCCAATGCTGTGTCTGCTATATTACGTAGACTGCTGTGTTGTGGATGTCATATGAATGTCTACTATCTCTAACTATCATTATGTTCAGTGTACCATAAGCCCCACGAGTGATCATTAAATCTATGTTATCCACTTGCAGCATGTATACTTGTCATGATGTCATGATTTCACTTAAACTAATTTTAATGTCCCTAATAAAAATTCTTTCTCCTCTGATTTCCCTCAAGGTGACTGGGGAAGTAAGTAATATTTCATCCTAATCACAATGTACCACGTCAGCTTATGTTGAAGACTGAGATTAACTGCAAAGACATTATTTATTCATTACAGTACAGGGCACAGAGGGGGAAATTCCCAGCCGCTTTCTTCGACACAAACAGACCTGTCACCCAGACTAAAACCTACATGAATGCCCGTGAGACAATGGAGTTCGTGATGCTGAAGCCTGGTGAATACCTGATCGTTCCCTCCACCTTCAATCCCAATGAGACGGCCTCCTTCATCCTGACCATCCTGTCCAAGGCAGAGACCCACGTCCAGTAAGCCCCTCGCAAAACTCAATAACTAGCCTTTAGAAGCTTAGTTGCGCATATCTACATACAAGTTGACTGTTTCCAGGGTTAGTAACAGATACTAACTGTATGTAATTACAGTGTTTCAAATTATAATCCCTGATTGTTGCTGAGAAAGGTGACACGCTGTTGTCTCTTGTCTTTCCTCTCAGTGAGAATTCTGCCGGAGATGGTCACGTACATATGGAAGAAGATGCACACCATGAGGTGAACAAGATTTAAAATGGCATATACTGTTCTCACTTTGGGTTAACGCAGCAATGACACAATGATGTTAACATTTTGCTGTACCTATGGTTAGAAAATCCCTTGTGAAATTGGATTATTTTGATCTGGTGACCCACTAGTGATACAGCTTGGACTGGCACACTTGTGTAATCTAATGTTAAACAGCTCTGTCATGACTGTGACGACCAAAAGTAAACATTATTATACAGTGTTCCTCAAGTGTATTCATGTTCTCCCATTAAAGAAGGAAAAAACAGCTGTCACTGAAATAAGACAAAATTGACAAAAGCAATAATAAATTTAAAAAATTTATGAAAATCATGACATTGCTTCGGAATTGTGGTTCAACAGAAATATATATATATAAAACAAGCAAACAAGCATGATGGGACCTGTAAACTAATATTTTTTTGAACAGCCCTTTGAGCCAATCACTGCAATCAAGTGTTTTCTGTAACTCTCAATCAGACTTCTGCACCTGTTGACAGCTGTTTGGATTTCGGCCCACTGCTCATCAGCAAAGTGCTCCAATTTGTCCGGGGCAGTTTTTTTTTTTTTTTCGTAATTATTCTTTTCAACCACAATTCAAAAGCAATGTCTTATTTCATTAAATTATATTTAGCAAATTTTTATTTATTATTATTTTTTTCAGTTTCTAGATATTAGAGTGACTATTGTGAATTTTGCCTTTTCTTTAATGGAAGGGTATGAATACATTTGAGGACGACTGTATGATGTATTGGATTACAATATATTGTAAAATTGTGCTTAAATTGTCCATTGTGTGCACAACACAACCTACTAGCACCGGTGTCGTTAACTGAGTCTTTTGTCAGAGCGACATTGATCCTACCCTGGTTTAGCTCTTTACACAGTGATTTGTTTGATGTCTTTAACAGTATGTGACACACACATATGCTCAGACTGTGCATTCATTGCTTTGGAACTGAAGCCATTTAATCCTTTGCAGCACAAACCAAATGAAAACGGCGAGCAAGACGGCAGTAACAAAACCCTGTTCCGTCAGTTCTCCGACAAGGTAATGTGTATGTGCCTCAGAGCAATAGTGCAGCATCTTGGGAAGTACGCTTATTTGCTTTTTAGATTTAAAAAGAAAACATACCTTGAAGGGAATGGTGGTGGCATAAACCTACATGTGAGCCAAATGTACGTTTTTGTTGCATGTCCAGTATGAAGAAGTGGATTGTGAGCAGCTCCAGAGGCTCCTAAATGAAAATCTGAAAGGTTTGGACTCTAAAAACTAACAAGCTTGGCAATAAAAAATAATTATGTAGCATCGTTGTGGCCGTCACAGTCTTAGTAACCGAGTGTTTTTTCCTATTTTCACTTAGGAGACTTGAAATCCGGAGGCTTCAGCGTGGATGCCTGTCGCAGCATGGTTGCTCTGATGGACGTATCCTTCTGTGTTATATTCACTTGAGCTGGTGGACTTGACAAACATGTTTCCTCACCCCTTTCTCTCTATTTTAGCAGCTATTTTGTGAAATCTCTCACAGTAAATGCAGTTACATAAAACAAGTTCACAGTGTACATGACAAAACCTGCCTGCTCTTTTGTTGATTTATGGAACACATGAATAGATTTAAAGGTCACCTTAAGGCATGAAACAACGTGTTCAGTTCTGATACCTTAACGGTGTGTTAAAAAAGTCTTCTGTCACTGGCAAACTGAATTCTGGGGAATTTGCCAATCTGTGGAGCCTGGTGAACACATGCAAGGTAAAAGAAACGAAGCAAATGTTCAAAATGTCATGAAACACAAGGGAAGTGTTCATTCCATTATTAGTGCAGAAAGATCTCCAGAACAAACTGTCTTCTCTTTACCCAGGACATTTTCTCCAAGGCTGATGTTTCTCAAACAGGAACGCTGTCCCTGAGTGAACTGAGGAATGCACTCATGGCCACAGGTAGACTATCTATCATCCATATGTTCTTTCTGCTCCTTTTACATGACAGAACTGGCTCGGGATGCAGTACATGCACAATGCGAGACATTGTAAAGACGACCCTGTGAGTGCCAAGTCAAAAAGGAATGTTTAAATGCCAATAGAGTAACAGAATGAACATGAAAACAATCTGGCAATGTGAAGAGGGTGTGCTGTAGTGAGAATCTACTGTCATCTGAATCTGTAGCTCCAGTCACTGTTATGGAGCTTTATGCAAGTTTAAGTGCAGTGTTTATTTATCTGACCCACAAATTGACTATTTTAGCTCACTCTCAGTGCAACGTGCAGCTTCCAACCAGCCTAAGACAACGACAAGACTTGATCAGCACCAAACATACACCAAAAATGCAGCCGTGCCACGACTGCAAAACATCAGCAGATAAAGAGTGTGTTGGTAGAGATCAAATGCAGAGCTAAAAGAGAGTGAATATAAGGGACTGATGGGCTTAACTTCACTAGATGATCATCAGCACACCTCATAATGAACAACAACATTGCCTCAGAACTGCTGATTGTCTAAAAATGAAACTGCTTGCAAGCAAGTTTACACACTCACAGAATCAACCTAATGAGATAATAGACCAAAAATGTATTAAAAAGTGTTGATGTGATCTTGTCTCTGCTGTAAAAGAGAAAACCAATTAGCCAGCAGTCCTGAAAGAAATCATACCTAAGCTTTCAATCTTTTGTGCTCTGTTCAGGAAAGACAGTCAGCGATGACATACTGAATCTGATAGCTCTGCGTTACGGCAGCTCCTCCGGTAACATTTCAATGGAGAACTTCATCACTTTGGCCATTCGCCTAAAATGCATGTCTGGTGAGTACATGTGGACAACAGACAACCTTCACTTCTGTAGAGAGTGGAAAATCAGAAGCTGTAATAAATCTAAATCTATGGAACTTCTTTAATTAAAGCCTTTTTTCCTGCATTTTTACTTTAATACACTTTTCATTTGGGGATTATAGTCATATCATCCATCCATTATCTATACACCGCTTCATCCTCACTAGGGTCA